CAACTTTGCGTGGTCTGCATTCGCAAATAACGCGCGGCGATCAACAACTTGGCCTTATTCGCCTCGGAAGACAAAGAGAAGAAGCTAGTGGCATGGAAATGTACGGCGGACGAAATTGCTGGTGATTTTGTCGCGACGCAATTTTGCCTCCCTCACTCGAAATCAATTTCACTCTCGTCTGAAAGGCAAACTTTTCAAGAGGGAAAATCTTTCGCATCACATGCAAAATGGATTTGATCAATATGAGGATATGAAAGACGATCTTCAATGAAATGGTTAAATAACTCTAATTGAAAAAGGTTTGTGCCTATTGAAAAGTCCCCTTAGTACATAAAATTTAATTTTTATTATTTATGAATTTTTGAAACATTTTTATTTTTTATCTGAAATAAAAAATGTTGTGCCAGATTTCCAAAGCAAGTTAAAAAAAATATTTGGAATGAAATAAAATATATTGATGAGAAAAAACATTAATAATAATATAAAAGAATGCAATTTTGAAGTGTTGGCGTTTTTGAATCACTGGAGAATTTTTCAAAACAATTTATGGCAATAAAGCAAATCTTGGGCTTGGAGTAATCAAAATTTTAGAATAAAGTCCCTAATGTGTGGGCCATCATCGTCAGGATTGTTCAGAAGGCCTAAAGAACAGCCTCAAGAGTCACTCAGCACTCACTCAAAGCAGGCGTTTCTCGTTTGTTGCTCCGTCTTTCTCGACTCGCATTAAAGCAACCCGGCTAGGAAATAGGCCATTTGTATTCCTACATTCGGCGGCAGTGGCGGCGCCCAAAATAAAAAGCAGCAGCCACGCCAGGCACGAGAAACAAATCGCCAAATCGAGTAAACAGAAAATATGGGCGGCGTAAAAAAGCACAAGGATTGATTCATTTCTGGCAAGAAGCCTTGGAACTGGTCGGCAAATAATTGAAAACGCCCGCGGGGGCAAAAAACCGAAAATCAATTTCGTGTCGGGCGAAAACAATGGCGGGGAAAATTGACGGGGCTTCTGTTAAACAAACACGGCTGGAATAATGAAAAGTGAGTTTCAGCGTGCGTTATTTTTCTACGAAAGATCTTGAAAAATATGACAAAAAGAGAGGCGCATTATTTCCAGGCAGATAACGCGGCTTGGCAAAAACGGAAGCGGCTGTGGCTTGGCCAGATAAGGAAAAGGATGTTTGAACAATTTTTTCGCTGCCGATAGAAATTTATGCATGCGAATGCCGAGGCTGGAGATAAAACGCAATTTGGCTAAAGTGAAACCGGGGTCAAAAGTTCACGTCCCTCGACTCATTTGCGTTCACCTGCTGCCTCAATCCCAGCGGACCACGGAGTGCAGAATGAATTGAGTGATGAGAGCGACGTTGATGGGAAATACGATCGCAGAAAAATCCCATCGAGCCTTTTTTTAATTGAACACCCGCGTGCATTTGCTTCTCCAAACAATGAAATGCAATTAAAAGACGCAGCTGCAGGAAAATATTGGCTGTGAAAAAACAGCAGTTGATGGCAGCAACGAATCAATTAACTTTTTCAAATCAAGTGCAGGCAATTTGTTCAACTGGATTATTGCAAGTTATACACGGACTTTAAAAACAAAATTCTCGAGTAATATTTTGATGCAGTTTTTCATTCGACCTTTGCAACTTGAGTGAGTATAAACAACCTACCAAGTAAAAAGACGTGAACTAATATGTACTTAGTTTGCGCAAAGTTGAGAACATAAATCAAAGAGCGCCGATAAATCAAGTGCCTTGCGCGTGTTTCTGAAGAGAAAAAACGTTATTTATCGGTTCAATTTTTCTCTCCGATGAATTAAATTGACCAAAGAAATTTGAATTAAAATTCCTCCGTGGGCGGCACTCCTGATGCGATGTTTTAACGGCTGCGACTTTTGGTCCCATAAATTAACCCCAATTATTTTTATCTGCCTCGCTTGCTCGCGCAACAAGGGCAGACGATTAATTAAAAAAAAAACTGGATTTCCGCCAGCTGGTGCGATTCAAATTTTGGCAATTCAAGGCGTGGTATTTTACAGAGAAGATAAAATGCGTTTCATGTATTTTCGTTTTGCCGATTCCTGTCACGCTCGTCCTTCTTATCAAAGTTTGCGGCGGTGGCAGTCAAGTTTCATCCGGGAGGATATTAATTAAAATTAATCCCACAGCGGCCGAGTAAAAGAGAAGTGCAAAGATTGTATGGTTTTATCTTTTTTTTAATCAGTTTCTATTCAAAAGAAACAGAGGTCGCCAAGCTTAGAATACTAATGGAAGCTCATAAAGATAAGGGAAAAATAGCAAGGAAAACATAATTTTTAAAAAAAACTTAATATTTATTTATGGTTTATGGTTGTAAAAAACAAATATTGGGAGTTATTTTTAATTATTTTCTATAAAAATCGGCTCATTTATAATTCTAAAAAGTTAGTCGATTTTTATGCAAAGTACACACAGGTTTTTCTGGATATTTGTAATTTTATCCCGTTTTCTCCAGTACCACAGGACTTGATTTTATTTTAAAAGAATTCAGCAACAAAAACTTTTGCTAGAGTTTTCGCCTGAAAATGCTGATGTTCGTCACGCCAGCATCTTTCCGGCAAAGCGACTCTCGTTTGCGGAAGCACGCATCTCCCTGGGTGACAAAAGTCAACACTCGTCTTCCCTCGTCTGGCCGCAAACAAGCCGAATCTTTTTCGCAAACTTTGCCGGCGGCCGGGTCGTTGCTGTTATTTCAAAGTAAATCTGCGCCAGCCACACGCGGTTTCTTTGCCGAGAGCTGAGAGCGAGCACCACACAGCTCCCCGCAGAAATCAGCAGCTCGCGTTGGATTAAATTACACCGGGGAGGAGGCACCAGCAAGAATTAGGGTCTTGTGATTTCAAGTGGCCCAATTTCGCTTATTGCTTGAGTTGCTTGAGTGCGATTTTCAAATTATGTTTAAACTCTTGGGTCGAAAACATTGGGGCTGAAAAAGTTGTTATATATTTTATATGAAAATCTCCGCTCGATTGGAAATTGATTGGATATTTTTACGACCGGATGAAACAGAAAAACTCGCTGGGGGAAAAAATTGATAAATTACAAAACATGTATTAAAGCCCTGGAGTTAGCGAATTGCGTCAGCTGTGTGACAACAAAACTTTGCGCGTAATTTGCAAGGCAAAGCTCTACGTGTGTTGGGTCTAATTGAGAGCTCTAGAATTCCGAGAACTTCAGATGATGCTGCACAACAACAGTGGCCACAAGCGGACGACTGCGTGCATATTATTATCCCCGGCCTATCATCTATTCGGAGGTGCCCTTAATAGCATCAAGTGCGTTCAAGACTGGCCGTAATATGCTAAGTGGCTGGTCGCTCTCATTACACGTGGGAGCAGCACTTTCGGATCGATCAAGAGAGTGGCTGAATATATTTATCAATTTGCGGGCGAGCACAATTTTCGCCTGCGTTTGACGGTGCAGCTTTCGATTATGAAATATGTGGTCGTTGGGGCCACGCAGGAAAACGCTGATGTGCCAGAATTTTTTGGTGGAAATGAAATTTTTGCTACATATATTATGAAAGTTGAACAAAAAATAATCAACGAGGAACATGACTTGGAAGTTTTTGGTATAAATAGATGATAATATCTGCAATTAATTCTTGTTTGTGAAAATATTAACAAATTTTCAAATATATATTTTCATAATAATTATCGTATTCCTGACAGGGAACTTTGTATTCCTTTGAAGAAACTGACACTCGAGGGCATGATTATGGGCGTGTATTCCTTATGAAGTTATGGAGATTGATGCACATCAAAACAAAAAGTAGTTCATGAAAGTTGCAATTAACAAATAATATTATTGTAATACAAAGGATTATATAAAAAATTCATTAAGTTGAAAGTTGTATTTTTTTCTATAGCATAATATCGAATGACATCAGCCGTTTTCATTAATACCAATCAAATATATTTTTTCCGTCGAATAAAAAATGTAATGCAAAAATTCTTAATGTAAAATACTATTTTTAATAATAATAATATTTTCCCGATATGCATTCAATAAAATTTGAATCATTTTTTTTTTAGTTAACATTATACATTTTGCTGAGCATAATATGTAAGCCGAAAATAGCTGGCATTGCCGTTAAGTCTAAAGGTTTTTCAAAGAAAATAGATTATTTGATAATTGCTTTTTTCTTTAATTAAGTAACACTCCTCGCACGTACTGCAAAACAAGTCGAAATAACTTCCACTTCCCTGTCAAGCATGTGTATATACATATATTATAAATATTCAAAACATTATGTTTGAGGAATGATGACGTCACAGTCCCCTTCCACTCTAGTTCAGAACGAAAGAAGTATCTAGATTCCATGAAAACAATAAAGCATGGGGTAAAATTTAAATTATAAATAACATCAGGACAAATATATTCAACCAGTATTCAATAAAATAAATAAAGGAAGAAAAAAATTAAAATAATTATATATGTAAATAATCAAAGCTTAAATAAATTAAAATCCTATATTTTTTCTTAAACGATAGCATTTTTTTCCAGGATATTCTTTCGCCTCACTTATATTTTTAATTTTTAGTTGATTTGCCAAATTATTCATATTACACAAAAGGATTATTACAGTCAACTCCGCCACAAATTGGCCCATTTCCCTTTTAACTCTGATGTGAGTTGACAGGTGAGTTAAATTTGAGTCTGCTGGTGCAGAGTCGCCTGCAGCCGCGGTGTCGAATTACCTCAAATTGGACGTTATTAAATTTGGCAGGTTCCTTCGGGCGACACGCGGACGGATCGGCTAACAAACTCGACTAAGGAAAGCAAAATCGAAATACAAACTCTCGCTTTTTTCCAAATATAGTATGTCGTGTGTGTACATTTGAGCAACGCGTTTGAAAGGCGACACTTTGTTTCTGCACAATCAGCATCACTCGGCAGGCAAATGCTGTAATCCACCAACACTCGCGGTGGTTTTTTATCAGTTGCTCCGCTGGCAACATCCCACACGGGACGTCGTTCGCAGCAGAGTTGTAAGAAATCTCCTTTTTTGCTCCCTCGGCGCGACAAAAATGGTTTTTATTAAAGTTATTCAAGTTAAGAACGAGTCGGCCATGATAAGAAACCGCAAACTGCGATGAACCTATAACGTAAGTATTTCCGCATATTTTACTGGACAAAAGCAATTTTCATTTTCATTGTGTCATAAATTAAATAATAGAAAATCATTAATTTAGGTTTTAACCTCCTACTTATTTAATTCATTATAAACAGATAAAAAAACTGCATGAAAAGAAATAGAAGAAGCAAAACAATAGGTCGCAGAGGGGCTGCAAAAAAATTTTCCCGCCCAGAAAAAAGGAATTTCGCTTTCCATTGTGCCGATGTTTTTTCCGTCTCCACTTTTTATGACGGCAACGGCTCATTATATATCTCGCGTGTCGCTCGCATCAGCAGCTAGCGCGAGCGGCTCCCGTTTCACTAGCATAAGAGAAGAGAGTCATTTCTTCTGACAAATGTCGTCAAGAGCGCTCTACGTCTTGCAACGCTTCTGAATGTTCCAGAGCAAGAATCTCATAGAGATATTGTTTACTGAGAGCATTGCATTTTAGTGCAATGTGAAATTTAAAAAAAAAAACCTATTAGAAATTCAATCATATGGGTCGAATAAAAAATAAAAATAAATATTTGCTGCTACAGAAAAAAAATTAAAAATATTCAGTAAAAAAAAAATGCAAAATTCAAACGAAAGATTCTTTCTCCCAATAGTGTAATATTGCAGAAAATCTTCCGAGCAAAAAACTGCAGCAGTTTAGAAGCGTTTTTATTTGTAAATCGGGTGCGCAATCACGATCGCGGCACTTGAAACAAAAAGTTTGCGCGCAGCAAAATTGCACAAGTTTGCTTTTGCTGGGATCGTGCAGCTTCAAAGGTGCACGCGGCTCTCGAATAATTTTATAAGTTTATTATGCCGCCGGAGGCTGCGCTACACTTGCTTACCAACTTTCCTTCGACGGCACAAACTATTCCGAAAGGACAGAATTGTAGGAATTTGCAACAATTACCCCCACGGTGGGACGCGCGCGCAGCCATAAAATAAATTTACGCCGAGAAACGCGAGTGATTGATTTGGGACGACTCTGCGAATTCACTTTCTCCGCGTGAACACATTCACGTAATTGATTCGAATGGGAATCTTCACGACGATGATGAGCATAACTTTTGAGAATAAATTACACGCCTCCACTTAATGAATGATTGTCAGGTTCAAATGAGCCCAACAAGGAAAATCTCTCCTTTTAATAAATGCAGTGAAATCTCAAGCTCATTTAAATTTAAAAAAAACCATTTCATGCAATATGTTTGTTTATTTAATAGAAATCAAAGTTACGCGAAATGAACCAAATATTATAAAAATTATACAAAAATTTTCCTACGAGGAAAAATATTTTTATTTTAGAACTTTCCTGTTTTGTCTTCCAAAATGAAATAGGAAGTACGTCAATAGCGTCGTTGCCATTATATTTTTCATAACTAACAATAAGCCAAAAATGAATACAAGTTTGAGGACAAAAACATCGCAATATATTGCTACATAATTACACGCTTTGTAATAAGAAGCGGCGGCGCTATCTTGTTTGTTTTTGTTTTTCCGCAGTTGAAACAAGAGACCGGCTAAACGGGCTAGGCAATCCCGACGGACGGCAAAAAGCATAATAAAATTGACGATCAAAACAAGAGGCACCCCAATCGGGGCTTTTTTTCTCTCTCTCATGCGTGCCACTTTGAAATTAGCTCTTGTCTGCTGTAGTGCTGATTTGCATGGAGGCGGATGAAATAACGGACGGAAATTCTATGAATATGGAAGAGACCCCTCACCGGCAGACCTTCTTTTTTCTGATGACCTCTGACCTCAACCGGGTACTCTCCTCATTTCGGCGTTAATTGGTTCTGCGGTGAAAATAAAAAAAGAACTTAATTTTACTTTTACTTTTTTAGAGTATTTTGACTATTTTTATTATATTTCCAGACCAGAGAGGCAAACTGCCTGTGAAACGAGCTATTTTAAAAAGCATCGCGGTTTTGCAGCCGAAATGCGGATTAGTCACAGCACGTTAGGCGCGGATTGGAAAAGTCTCGCACTCCGTTGGCCTTATTTAAATGCAACAAACGCGCAGCTCATGACCATGTAGTGAGAATTTTCCATTTATTATGTGTGTGCCTAGTAAGCCAACTTTAATTAGATCTTTAGCACGGTTTGGAGAAAATAGGCGGATCTCATTATTTGATTTCAGTCAAGTGGAAAAGTAGCAGTATAATTACAAATTATTTTGATAAAATTTCCCATTAAGTTATTTAAAATTCCTTCATCCTATTTCGCACTCAAAAATTCCACAGCATCGAAATAGAAATAATTATAGACCTTTTTTTGGTATAAGCTTTAATTTTTACAAAATAACAAATAACCCTGAAACATTTAATTGTGTTAATATTACAATGTTTGAAATTAGTGTAAGCGGAATTTTATTTATTTTTTCATTCTTTAAAAGTGGACTAATTCCTTTTTTCAATTAAACTCTTTCACGTACCACTAATTTGATTTAATTTTTTATATAAAGACATAACCTTGTTGCAATGTAATATTTTTTCTTTTCATTTCCATGTAACATTATAACGTTTTGATAAATTGATCAAAATCTCAGTTAGGCCGATCCATCATCCGCTTCTATTTCAGACTTTCAGAGTTGACCGGCGTTTTTAGGCGCGTGCTGTGTGTGCATCAAAATTCAGTGGGTCGGCCGCTGCCAAAAAAAAACTTCACATATTAGACCGGAGCAGAATTGATTCGCCGTCATAAATATAGCCGTCGCGATTACCACGGCCAACTTCCGTTTCTTATTTTTTTCCCTCCATCCGCGGCTGCAGCACGTCCGATATTGGCCTGACTCCGAGACTGATTGAGATACAAAGAGTCCCAGTCGCTTATTCACTTTGTCATAATTCTCTCTTTCTCTCTCTCTGACCTGACAAGACTCGATCAGAATATCAATGGGCTCCAATTTCTCCACTAGCCGATGAATAATGCGAAACGACACGCTGATGCGCGCGTACGTACAAACTTTTCGACTTCACGATCGACGAGAATGTGTGCGTCTCTAGGTGAATAAAAAAACTCAACCATGACTTTGTTAACATCTATATAAGTATATAAGAGACCCAGCTTTGTGAATCTTACTGAGAGGCACTGTTTAGAACATTATCAATGGCTAGGTGCCAGATTATTTGTCAAATTAAATTTTAAAAGGTTTACATGAAAACTATAAAATCGTTGTCGTTGGAAAGCAAAATTTGGAAAGCTTCAATTATGCAAAACGGCTTTCAATTATGTGACTAGTTACCATTGAAGATATAAAAACCATAATTATAATTATTAAATTTATGGATTTGGGCAGAGAATGCCCAGTGATACTTTAATAAACACAATTAATTTGCAACTAAAAATATACACGAAACTTGTTAATTAAAGAATGAGAAAATGCAAAATTTATTTCGTTAATAGTTATTTAAAAAAAAATACAGAAAACACTTATAATAATAATTGTTATATTATTATTATAATGATTGTAATATAACTTTTTGAAAGATTTAAACTTTCAATAAACAAAATCAACTGGAATTATTAATTTGTTTTGTATTTTTTGTCATTCTAAAAATTCATTTATATTACTTTGAAAAAATGGGCTGTCAAAAAATCAAATTACGCCGTTAATGATGTGTTTAGCGTGCCAGGCGCGTGCAGAAGCTTACGAAAGTGGTGCTCACGAGCGATATATAAAATTTCCAGACGCACACTCCGTTTCCCAGAAAGAGATCGGCGAGGAATGAATGTAACCCTGCAAGTAAAATAAACGCGTCTCGGCCTGCAAATAAACGCGGTGCGCGCGCGAATTACAGAGCTATGCGCTTTCCACGCAGGCAACAAACACACACGCATGAAATTAAAACAGCGTTTTTCTTTCTTTTCATCTGCGCTGCCTATTCTCGACGTTCCGGCCGAATGTATGTAAATATTATTTGAAATGCACCGAGAGCGGGTTCTTGTAAACGTCACATGCTCACCCTCGCTCGCCCTCAACGCCTTAATAATAATAAAAAAATCATATTTAAGAGTGTTTGTTTTTAATTGCTACGTGCGCACGTTGGCCCGAAATAGAAGTTTCGCGATCTCTTTTCACGGCCATGAAGATCAATTTATGCATTTCAAACGTGTTATTTTTTTCTCTATAGAAAGCTCTTTTTACTCATTTGAGTGAAATGGAATTAGCAAGTAAAAATTTTTAAAACGCAAGAGCAAAATTAACGCAATTTAAATATAAATCGACTTAACTTAGTTATTCATGAATAAAATATGTAAAATATAATTCCGTTTCAATTTTCAATTATGTAATAATCATATTAAAATTATATTATTATTTATTGTTTCTGCATATTATGTAATGCTTCTTCTGAAAAATATTTTAATCTATTTAAATTGAGGATTTACACTCGACTCAATGTGTAAATTAGATTATAAAAAAAATTAACAATATTTTTTTAACTATATATAATGATCAGCAAAATACGAAGGCATCCTGCTAATTATTCATATTCGTAAATTATTTGTAACACAGCAAGTTCTTAGTATTATTTTTATGTAGCAGTGAAATTCTGTAAAGATTTTAAAAAATAAAATTGGTTTTCAAACATAATAAAAAAACCTTAACGACCCCTTGTGACAACGCACGCAACATAATATCCTCGCAAATAAACTAACTATACGCAAAATCTAAGGTTTGCAACACTCACCTTTTTACACCTGAGGAGTGCAATTATAGTGATGAGGTTGCCAGGGATGCCGAGCAGAATGAAAAGGACGCAGCAGGCGACGGCCAGGTCGAGCAGCACCGGCGAGTAGCCCTTGAAAAGGTTCTCGCCAGGGAAGTCGGCGTCCGTCGACGACGCCGACTGGTTGGCGACCAACGAGTCACCGGCCTCCATGTCACGGCGAACGCGTTCCGCAGACCAAGTGAACGACGACCGCCTTCGAATCCATCCTTCCGACTGAGTCGCACGCGCGCAGGCGGCGCAGGACAACACAGAGGAGCAGAGAGAGTACTCGGTGGCGCGCGGGCCTCCCTCCTCGCCCGCCCGGCCGCCCGGCACCCGCCGCCGGGCGCCGCGCAATCGCTCTATCGGTGCCATCCTCCCGGCGGCGGCGAACGCAGTTTCGCTTTCTTTCGGTGCCAATGTCACCCGGCCGCCGCGAGAATGCAACGCTAATTACTCGCCAGCTCGAAAGATGCAGTTCAAGGGCGCCGGAGCGGCTACTGTTCGGGAATTTATTTGACATTGGCCAAGGAAAGAAACCAATCATTTAATTTTAAATAAAGAAAGAGTTCAATAATACATAATTACGTTAATTTTATTTTGAAAAAGCCTATGAATTTTTGGCAATTATTTTCAATTACTTGTTTTTGATGTCAGGCGTTTTAGCAGACCTCTGCTAGTTGTGATACCCTTTCTGCTCATTTTTTCCAAATCAATTTTTTTCATGTATGAGTCAAATGTGTCAAATCATGTATGACTTGAGTAGAATAAACAACAATATATATGTAATCTTTATTTTAAATATGTAAAATTTGATAACGTTTGGGTATATATAATGAGTTAATTTTGTTTTTATTTTTAGCATTACCATGTTGCTTGAATAAGTAAATCACAAAGAACACAAAAATATGAGACCAAATTTATTAGTCAATTAACAATTTATTATGATTAAATATTAATTACCACGAGCATTGTCAACGCCACTGCTATATATATTTTTTTTTTCAATAGCTGCATTGAAGATTAAAAAAAAACCTATAACAAATATTTTAAAATTTCACTATCCTGTTGCAAAATACAAACTAAAAAATTTGATTTTTTTTAAATAAAACTTACTTATGATGTCTAAAACTAGTGAAAATTTAAATTAATTTTAATAACAAACAACTTTTTAATTATAATTACATAATTAAATATTTGTACATGGATTGTCTATTGTCGCTCATTATATCCTTCCTTCTTTCTGGATAGATTTGTTTTAAATACATACATGACTACTTAATTATTGCTAATATACGACAGGAAATGAGGTGGTATTTTATAACCAACAGTTTTAAGGAAATAAATTGCCAGACGCCGATAAACTATTTTATCGCCGTTTTTATCTCTGTAACCCCATGAAACATTTGTATATGAAATTTTTGTTATAAGCTTGGAGCCGTCTGAACAAGAGGCAAGAAAAGTTAGAAGAAAAAATGGACAATGAAGAAAGCGTCGAAACGTAAACTTAGAAATTTTTAACAAATGTTTACCTTAACTGAAAGCTAACTATGATTTATTTAGTATGCCTCGCACTTTACTCACTGTTTCGGCAGTGATAATAATTTTGATCATCATTCTCGGAGTTTTGGGTAATTTGTTGACCATTCTTGTGTATTCATTAACTCCCAAAATACGAAACGCAACCGCTGCATTCATTGTCAGGTACTTCAAATTGCTATTTTATTCAATCTTAATTATTAAGATTAACCGAGATCTGTAAATTCAGCCTCAGCTTCGCCGACCTGTTTTTCTGCATTTTCGTTTTGCCGTTCAGCGCGTCTAGGTTCATCCATGGAAAATGGAAGTATGGGGATTTTGTCTGCAAATTGTATTCTTTTGTCGAGTTTGGAAATGTTGGCGTTTCCCTTCTGTTCATCATGATGATTTCAATAAACAGGTATTGCAACTGAGAAAAATATCAAGCACTTTCCATGAGCTGAAATATTATTAGGTACGTTAAGATCGTGCATTGTCAGATGTATGAGAGAATTTACACGCCATTGCGGACTGCAGCCATGATTGTATTTTGCTGGCTAGTCAGTTTCTTGATGCAACTGCCTACTTTGCTAGGAGTCTGGGGTAAATCAATTACTTTTAGGGAAAACCCCAATTAATGAAAATTAATTAATGAATGAAAAAATAGGTACATATGGCTATGATGAAAAGCTTTTCAAGTGTGACATTGTGGAAGATGACAACGGACGTTCAAGCAAATCAGCGCTCTTCATTATTGCATTTACCCTCACTTTCTCCACCATCATCTATTGCTATTCCAGAATTTTTGTCGTTTACTTCCGGTTAGTAGTTGCAATTGTTGAATTGAATCTATACTGACTTTAAGATTGCTTCTTCTAGGTCAAAATCTAGAATTCGTCAGAATTCAACATTTCAACAATCTGATAGAAACAAAAATGCAGACAATCAAAGGGATTTGCGTTTCACACTGATAATGTTCACGATCTTCATATCATTTATCGCCTGCTATGTTCCTCAAACAATCATTACTCTTGTGGATGAAAAAAAGGAAAAACCAGGTTTTAATATTATGTCATTTTTATATGATTGTTTTAATTTAACCCGATTCCAGCGTTGTACGTGGTGGGATACGACATTTTAAGTTTGTCCGCCTGCGTCAACCCCATCATCTACGCATTGATGAACAAGCAGTTCAGAGATGGCATCATTCAATTGCTGCCTGTAAAGAACACTTTCAACCCCGACTATCAAACTAACCAAACTGTATCTGCTAGCCTTAAATAGAATCATCGTAATTCACCATTTATATTTAAAAAAAATTATAATAATAATAATTTTATTGCTTTATAGGTATTTGCATTATTTTTACTTCAATTCATCATAGCTTCACTTCCATCAATGCACATGGCTAACTTTTTTCCAAATTAATTGCGTGGAAAATGTATATTTTGAATTTTCCGCAGCACAACGTTTACTTACAAAAATATAGATGACCATAAACCATTTATTTTATATAATTATGATAATTATTTCCTGACATATTATTTCAAGTTTAAACGCTGAAATAAGTTTTTAAATTAAATAACGAAAACTAACTTCTTGCGGTATATTTAACTCTCACCAGCACAATCAAAATATTAATGTTTGATAAGCCAAACAAATTATACGAAACTCTTATTTTATTTCTTTTACATTTACATATTACTAAACTTCCTCACAAGCCAACAAAGACCATTACAAAGTTTCCAACAGTGGTATTAAAATTTTGTATGACGCTTCAAAATGAACTTCCACAACGAATTTTTTTCTAATTGTTCTTATTAACAGCGCTCAATAATTTCACATGTGCTCTATTTACATTAACTGCTTATTATTAGTTTTCTCTTCAATTACGATTTTATGTTAAAAAATAAATGTGAATAAATTCATTACAATTACATTTAAAATCGTAACAAATTAATTTCAAATCTAACAGTTGACTAACAGGTATGGCCTTTAACAATGAAGATTAATTTATTTCTCTCCAAAAAATTAAGCACACAAACTGTAAAGGAACTTAGTTATTTATAAAGAACCTCAATCCCTTTTTTGGATTTCCTCTCGATTCCAACCAATGAAGAAATTTACTACTTTTGAAAAGTGGTTTTCGTGTTTCTACTTTTTTGGCTTTTTTGGTCAGCCATTCGTGGCGGGGAGTTTATGCAACTGGCTGAACGCTGGCGCATCAACGGCTGCCGCTGTAAAAGTTATTAAACCAGAGCACACCGACTCGAAGCGGTTTATGTAGCGCAGACGACCTAATGAAAATGTACTTTGAAGCCGAGTTGTGCCGAGTTGTTTACGATAATTTATTCATAAAATGTTTTTTAGGGTTTCGTAATATTAATGAAAATGTTATCAATATAATACATGAATAATATCTTTCATTTTTTTTGTAAGTTTTCATAGCTCTGGATGAAATGAACATTTTTTCGTCTCTTGAATAATCACTCTCTCAATTCTATATTTTTATAGCAAAAGAATTAAACTCCTTTTTTTAATTTTCTTTCTTCTTTTTCATGTTTACAGCCCTATTCAAATGACCTACAGACCACTACAGACAGAAACAAATAAGGAAGTGGAGTCTGAGCAAATGAGCGGCGCTCTCTGTAAAATGCTCCACAGCACGCCGCGCTTCTATACTCCCCACAGAGACTCTAAACCCAACGAACGCCCTTTCGAAACAAAATGCTCGTCACCAACTGTCAATAATCGCGACTCGTTTCGTCACCGCAACCGTGCGTGTCTCTTCTCTTCTCCCTAAAATGTTTTTGTTATTCTGTCTGAATACCTTATATCTCAAGACATGAATAATGAATAGGAAAAACGTTTTAAGTAAGACGCACATCGTTGGTTGGCACTTATCTTTGTAAATATAAGCGCGGTCCACCACTTCCACTTCCGTGACCTTATAGCCTCAAACAGCAGCGAATGGTTAGAGAAATTCTTCAAGCCTGTGCTAGCGATTAGAAGGTGTTTATGGAAGTAGATTAAAAGCTTGGAGGTTTTTCCTTGATATCGCAATTAGTCATTTTCCGCAAAAATAAATGTGTGTTTTGCTGAGGACTGAGCAAAATAAAAAAAGAAAAAAATATTATCTTAAAATTAAAATGAGTCTTCATAAAATATACTTTCAATATTTTTGGAACAAATTTTGATTAATACTATAGCAAACCAATGAAAAGGAGGAAAACAGATATTTAACTTAATATTTTTACTATATTTTTTTATAAAAACGAGCCTGTACACATTTCAAAATGCATATCATCCAAATTAGGTTTGGAAATAGATGTCAGTGAAAGAAAGGAGAAGCGGCGGAGAAAGTAAGAAAAATTGCAATCCATTTGGAAGATGGCATATAAATCAAGTCAAGAGCGAGTGCCACCCTCGTCTGCTACAACACAAAACGAGAAACAACATTTTTGGCCGGCGTCCCGCTGGCGGATGCAAAACGCCAAGATTAAGCGTCGCTCCTCCAGCAGCAGCTTTTCCTCGCCGATTTGCAATGCTTTTCTTTATTATTTTCTGACGGAGTCCCTCCGAGTCTGCCGCTGCAGCTGCAATTCCCTCTTCGCGCTCACCATCAGCAAAAAGCGAAAAGCACTCGGCCATTATTCCCATTCGTCTCCGGCGCTGCTTTTCTTGCCGGGGCTCAACAGCACATGTTCCGCCGCCAACAATGGCAACGAGAAGTGAGTGCTCTTCGCTGTTATGTACGGATAGCCCAGCAGCTATAGTGGAGATAAATGCAATTGCGACAATAAAAGAGCCAGATAGAGTTGGCTGGTACGCTCATTATTGTGTGCGCGAGAGCTCCTAATCTAAATTCAACATGTTATTATTCAGACGTTTATGTGTCTTTGAATGTGTCACATTGCACCCGACGAGTACCCCTTCTAAAATATTATTATACTGCGCACGTGGGTATAGGCAGAGCTGCTATATATTATCTCAGCAAATATAATGCGGTACTTTTCGGCTCACACATTCGACACATAGCCACATTCTTAGAAAACTTAGCTCGAGTTATTTTGTGATAAAAGTTAAATAATACATTTAAGATGAGATGTAAGATCCTGAATACAAAATCTGCCAATTTTTAAATTAATTTAAATTAATAGTATATTATGAATTAAAAAACAATTAACATTTAATTTAGAAAATTCAAATAATATTGCATGAAGTATCGTTTGTCTACTTATCTGCAGTACCAAAATACTTAAGAACTTTGTGATAATTTTTTTAAGCATATTTTCAACCAAAACTTTCTTTTTCTGTTTGATTTAATAAGATTATCAATTAAATGAATTAAATATAATTACGCTAATTAAATTTATCAACTAATCCAATTAACTCGGTAACTGTTTTTATTAATAAGGTTCAGTGAAATGATGTAATAGCCTGGTTTTTATACGTTCACTGATTAAAGTAAAGCTCTGTCAAACTAAAAATGGTAAAAATAATGCACTGAAAACCTGCTGCAAATAAATTATGCAGAGTATGACTATGGTGTACTGGACCCTTTAGCAAAAATCAATCGCTCTCGTCATGCAAACTTGCGTTCAAAGGCACACAGGATGCTGGTGCGCGGCTCATTACGCGCTCATTATTCGGTTTATTTATTGCCGGGCGGGGGTGGGGGCGAATTTCGACGTTCATTACCTCTGCCTGCACCAACAATGCTGCCAAAGCCTGGGTGTGGTTTTATGCCGGGACGAGAGGCGCTCACTAGACTAATACAACCCCACACTTGAGTGTAGTACATATTTCGTATGTCCCTCCAAAAACGCCGCTCACGTGCTCGGAACAAAATAAAAGTGACGAATAAGGAGCGACGCATGTGGGTTTCAGGCGCGAACAAAGAAAATAAAACGCTCACTTAATGACAAAATTATTTCCGAGTGCCAATGTGGGTCGCTAGTTTGCTTTTGGGTGGAGAAAAAGAAAGAACTTCTTATTATTGTTGAGGGAATTTATTTATGCGCGAATAAAGCAGCGAGTCGATAAACAACCAACGTCTTCATTTCCAATGCGGCGGCGACGACTCGCTCATTGTGATTCACTCGCCGTTGTATAATAAATTGGGCTCATCGGCGCCGAAAGTGCTGTAAATTCTGCACTCGCCAACGAAAACACAACAGCAACAACAAAGAGGCAGGCGCGCAAATCACGCGGACACCCACTTGGTAAATTTGAATTTATTAGGCTTTTGAGTGAGAAAATCTGCATAACGAGTCAAATAGATAAAATAGCTGCTGGGCCATGCAATTTAAATATTTAAAATTGTGTGTTTAAATGGATATTATTAATTAAAATTTATTGTAAAAATTTACTGATTTTTTTTTGCGATTTCATTTTACATGGAATTAAAAATTTTGTCAAGCAATAAAAACATTTTATTTATAAAATTTAAAATTTGAAAATTAAATGCAACATTGAAAACATTGAAATTTTTAGTGTTTTTTTTTTTTTTTTAGATTTTTATGAAACTGAATATTTTTTTATTATTTTTTATTTCTAATACAGTACCTTGTTGCAGTTAAATCTGGAAATATTTTACTAGTGTTTTAAAAATCAAGCAATTTTGCTGCTCTTTAAGCTAAGATTCTGTATTCTGAATGCCAGGAAAAAGAAATCTGATTTGAGAAAATTAATAAAAATCACAAAATAAAAAATGAGCGAAAATAAGGTGGTTAATTAAAATATTTTAACAAACGTGTGACTCCAAATTTCAAATTTGAACATATTTTATTAAACATATTCTTAGAATATTTTATTTTAGAGAAGAAGAAAAGGCGGTCAGTGGTAGTGTTGCAAGATTATATAAGAGCGATTGCGGCCTATAATCGGCGGCGGCGAGTTGGATCGTCCGGCGTCTGGACACGCGCCCGGCCAGCCGCCCGTTCTGTTTGTTATGAAAGCCACCCACGCCAATCTTCTCCATTTCTCGCACTCGAGCACGGCAGCGCAATAATAAAAATACGCGAGCGGCGGCCGTCATTAGCGCAGCTGGCCCCCGAGAAGTTTATCACTAGTGAGGCACGAGCCGGCACCGCTGACGTCAGCGACTCAATTTTCCAAATACACCAAAAAATTCTTTTTTTAAAAAATCCAAAAAATCTGACATTCTGGCATTTTCCGCATTCTATCTCCTCGGAAATAACAACGGTCGCGTTTGGAATTCGGAGTGGGCGGCCGATTGATTTCGAGCCGCGACAAGTAGCAGTGAGCTGTGGAAATGTACAGGACCGAATTTGTCTATTAGAGATGCCATGGTGGTGGCGGCAAAAGGAGGAAGTGAGCGTAATGAGCTGTGGGAAGAAGGGGACCCGCCGCACACATTTGTTTCTCTCTCGCTCTGAGCACCACGTGACCCCCGCGGCCGTGGTGCTTCCAACGCCTCCCTTAATTCAGTCCATCGGCCGCCTTTGATCGGCGACGACGACGAAGACCAGCTGGACACCGGACAGGCCCTCGTTAGCATCATGTTTCGGACAGTCATATTTGCACCGTTGATTTGAGTCAAGGTTAGTCACAAGGTATTTTCTCTTTTTACATGAACTTCCAAATAAAATTAAAGTGTACCTAATTATACTAATTTAATTAATAGCTAATTGATCGGCTACAAATTTTTTTTTTAATATATACTCTTGTAATTAAAGAAATAGATTACTTTCTCTAACCGACACAATTCTTTTGAAATCATTATTTCATAAAATTATTACATTGTCTTAAATATATGTTGATAACATTATTTATACATTTAATTAATATTACATTGTAATTAATACTTATTTTAATTTAACATGAGCATAACATTTTAAAATGTTTACTATCTTGTAATGGCGTTTTTTTATAAAAATATAAAAATATTGTATAAAAATATCTTTAATATTTTTTTATACAATATTTACTGATTATAAGATGCAGTTTTAAACTTTATTTAAATCTTTTTATAAAAAAGCTGAATCTTAAGTGCATTTTATGCTATACTTGGTGCAAAATGCAATGGACAGTGAAATAGAAGAAATTAACTGAACTGCCCAAATTTTAACAAATTGAATTTTATTGCTGGTCAATTATTTTGATAGACGCCCTCAGGTCAATGTAATGACCAAAATAGCTGACATTGGCACAGGGGCCACCGCGTGCGCCGTCTTTTAGCATTAGTCACTCAATTAGGTGTCAAAGAATCATTTGTCAAAACAGGATATTATTCTCGGCTTTGCGTTTATTTTCACTACGCGCTGGCGAGAACTTCCCACTATATGGCCGTGTAATTATTGTCAAAGTAAACGGCATCTTTTGATTACTCCAGCACTTTCCTTATATATATTATGAGTTATGAAAGTAAACAATTAACTATACCAGAGTTGCAAACGAGCTTCAAAACTTCTTCATCTCCTTTGGGATTGGAGATTTTAAAAGTTTTAAATAAATAAAAAAAATTCTTCACGTTCCAAATAATTGGATGATTTTTTTTACGAGAGAGCAATTAAATTTTGGTTTATGAGGCAATGAAGCGATAAATTACAGTACTTGGGAAATGCATTTAAGTGGCGGTGCTCATGCTGGTCGATTCTTCTGCGTTTGTCTGGTGCATGTCGCAGCCGACACATAAAACACATGCACGCCCAGAACATTTGAGTTCCCATCATTCGCTTTCTTGAAGCGCCACGCACTTTTTGCCCTCTCTCTCGCTCTCTGCGTGTTTTTTTCTTCTAGCTGCCTCATCTCGCCGTCTCGCCCCCATAATGATAATAAACCAAACGCATAGCACTACTCCACTGCATTCACCATCCTCTCGCTGCTCTCTCATCCAAGTCAAAGTTCGCGTTTCTTCCAAACACTTTCGTCTTCATGCCTGATTACAAATGATGTCACGAGCACTGCCCACAAATAAACTCCCCCTCGTTAAATTTTTATTCTGTTTTTTTCTAACAATATTGTATGTCTTTGATACCAAATATTAGTTGATGGTCAATTTTTCAAGTAGTTAATTTTGAAACAAAATTTATTTCTATTTGATGAAACGATGAAATATGTGTATTCTATGAACAATAAGTTGCAACAAAATACACTGTAAATGTTTTTTTTTTATTCAACTATTCAAAATTTGATATATTCTCAATTTTTTTTGTTACATCTTCAATTCACAATTGCATTGCTTAGCAAATAATTAGTGCAGAGTTTGTGTTTAATTTCTTCCTAAATAAGTCGATCTTTCGACATCGCTATGAATTTCTTTTCGAAGACTAAAGTACGTCAGACTCCATAAATTAAACGCCTTCTGCTTGCACATACACATGCGAAACTTTTGCGCGGTGAATTATTTCTCCTCTTTTCTCGCTGCTCAGCAGACTTTTTTATTTCGCAAACTCCACGGTTGCAGAAAAAACGGCAGCAAAAGTAACGGAGACGAGGCTGGTGTGAAAATACGCATGTCTCAAAAGTACTCGATGTGTATACGCAAATAATATTTATCCAAGTTCGCCTGGCCAAGCTCCTCTCTTGAGACCCACGCATATCCAAAGACCTTCCAGAAGAAAGGTGAACCCATATTTGCGGATCTTTGGACAATTTCTCTTCCCTTTTCACTGACGCACGTTCTGCCAAAATCCCCAACGTGAAATTCGAAACTGAATCGAATCAGTCCGCAAATTTTATCGTTGGTTTGCTTTGGCAGACGGATTCGGACGAGCCAGTTTTTTACTCGCGGCTTTTGGGTCGGCGATAAATTATCGGTTTGTTTACACTTACGCATCATTCGCGCAAACCGCTTTTTACCAACGTGTTTATATGAAAGAATTGCACGTGTTTCTGACATACCCGAATTTCTCTGACAGCTTCGGCGCCGGTGCGGTTTTATTCAGCGTCAGGCGACTCACATTGTTTTTGCTGCAAAAGTTGTCTTTCGTAATCCGGATTATCATTTTTATTCCCACCAGAAGAAAGAGAGTAAAAAAATTTTATAAGTAGAAAAAAAATCATTCCGACCCAATAATTTTGTTTCAAATCATTGATAACGAATTATTTGACTTTTGGAGCAGTGCGACAATGATTTACATTTTGATTGACTCGCTGCCTGCATGCAAATGAAGTGTGAATCGCTTGTTTGATTGATAGTCGAACCGACAGTACAACACGCAGCTCGGTGGAGGCGTCAAAGAGCGAAACGTCCGTTTCATATTTTTGCAGTAAAATTTCTGGCCCAATATGTAAATCGTTATAGAACAAGTGATGGACAGAAACGGGGATTTGTTTTGCGTCGGCAAACAAAAGCAGCGAGTTAGACGAAAAGTTTTGAATTTTTTAACGACAATTGCAGAAATAGATATAGATCAATAAAATTTTAATTTATTTAACTATTTTTATACTGCATTAAAAATTAAACAGATATTATTTCGAATAAAAAACTATTTCTTTAATGTTTTTGTTTAAAAAATTTTTGTTGATATAAATCAATTTCAATAAAAAGAATATTTTGTTTATCATACTTATTGTTAGTTATTTACCAGAACTATATTAATTTTTATAATTAAATATTAATTAAACGGTTATATTTTTATAAACATTGTCTTGTAATTATATAATAATATGTTACAACCCACCACTTATTCTCCTTATTCTTAATGATTCTTATGTGTATTTCGCATGGTCAGAAAATAAATTTAGTGTTTCACTCTTAAATTACAAATTGTATTATTTTCTGTAATTAAATTCATTAAACAAATGTAAATGATCTAAAAAATAGGATTTATTGGTAAAGTCGTGTATTAAGTGTAAATGCAGATTACTGCTCTAGATTTTAATGATCTCTGGCAATACATTCTGAGCTGCAATCAAAATACATGATACAAATGGATACTATACCATATGCATAATTATTTTTGCTGAGCTCACATTCAAAACAATAAAATTTTATATTTATGCGGAAGGAGAAGTAGCCGAAAATAGCACAACTATGTACTTTTACAACTTAGTTACTGATAATTTTTTATTCTTTGATCTGCACATTTAATTTCACTTTGCTTATTTCCTCGTTTTTGCCGGGTTCGTACGCATTTCGAAGATAATAATTCCATTTTGAATAATGTTTCTTAAGCTGACGATGGAGACCACAGGGCCCAATGAGACTTTCGTGGACGTGAGTTCGCCTCGAACGATGGCTTGGACCGATTCGTTTGCGGACTTCAACCAAACTGTCCTGCAGGATGTCGAGCTATCAAAGTATTATTTTGCAGCATTTCCAAGTATTGATAATTTTTAAATACTTATTTTAGATTCCCTCGTTCTTTGTCAACGTTTACCTCTGTTATCACCATCCTGATTCTCATTCTCGGGGTCTTGGGCAACTCGCTGACCATTTGGGCCCTGCTTAAATGTCCCAGGGTGCGCAACGTCGCCGCCGTTTTCATTATCAGGTAAATTTTATTAATATTATCTTAGAGCTGAATTAACTTTGCACCAACAGTTTGTGCGTGGCCGACTTGCTGTTCTGCGTGTTGGTGTTGCCATTCAGCGCCTCGCGATTCCTGCATGGAACATGGATCCATGGCATGACTATGTGCGTCTTGTTCCCTTTCATGCGCTATGGCAATATTGGAGTTTCACTGCTCTCCATCACCATGATCACCATCAACAGGTAATCAAAATTTCTTTTTTAAGATCACTCTTCTATTCAAATTTATATTAAATTTCTTTAAATTTAAAAGAATTAACAACAACAAAATAATCAATTCAAATGAGAAAAATGAAACTGAAAAAAAACTTGATTCTTGGAACCGATTCAAAACACTGCGAGTGACAGACGGGCGAACTTTTTCCGCCACGACAAAGTTATTTATGCACGAACATGTGCTCTTCCTTGTCAAAAGCGACTTGGTGAATCTCTGGAGTGCGAAACTTGATATCCGAGAAGCAACTCCAAATGACAAAAACAACCAGGGACCCATTCCGAATAATTAAAACGTTTCCTCCCAGCATTGGTCCTTCAGACTAAAGAACAACGCTCGTATGTCTCTACTTTTTCCTTTGTCAACAGATACGTTATGATAGCACATCACAATTTGTACGCGCGTATTTACCGGAAGCATTGGATCGCCGCCATGATTGCCTTCTGCTGGGTTTTCAGTTATGGCATGCAGTTACCAACCCTGTTTGGCATTTGGGGTAATAAATCCTATATTATTACAACTTTACTTTTTTTAACATAATTTTCTAATAAAGATTAAATAATTTATAAATAAAACTGCCTTTATATAAAATTCTAGGCTCCTTTGGTTATGACACCAAACTGGGGACGTGCAGTATTTTGGAAGACGAACAAGGCAGGTCAAGTAAGGCTGCGCTTTTTATAATGGCCTTTGTCGTACCCTGTTTTGTGATCATCCTTTGCTACGCGCGAATCTTCATGGTCGTCCACGAGTGAGTATTTTTTTTTTTTTAATATTTTTATATAATTATTTTTGTTCTCAACATTTTGCTTATACAATCCCGCTGGACGTTTGATAGTTGCCAGTTGCCTAACTTCCAAGGCACCGATTTCAATCTGAATTTTGTTATGCAGGTCTGAGAAAAGGATGCGTTTGCACGCGAACGTCAATGCAGCGCGTTCGCCGACAGGTACGGTGGGACGCACGGAAAAGGAAAACAAACGGAAGCGCAACGAGTGGCGCATCACGAAAATGGTGCTTGCCATCTTCCTTTCATTCATCATTTGCTACCTACCCATTACCATTGTAAAAATCGCGGACAAGGCGGTTAAATTCCCTGGTACAACGCAATAAAAACCAAAATATTTTCTTGTCTCACATATTGTTTATTTAAAGGACTGCATGTTATGGGCTACCTGTTGCTCTACATGTCGGCGTGCATCAACCCCTTGATCTACGTGATCATGAACAAACAGTACCGCCAAGCCTATAAGACGGTGCTCAAGTGTCAGCGAGGCCGACTGCTCTCGTTCACGCACGCTGGCAACACCAGTCAGCAGGCCGGTGAGAACCCTAAAAGTTCTTTGCATGGTATGCTAGCCATAATTAATTTAGACTTAAAGATATTTCAATTTTTTTTCATTTCATTACACGATATATATATATTTTTTTTTTAAATCTAAATTTTGCTCGTTTTGCAGAGAAATCGCGAGACCAAAACTGCAGCAGGACTATGATGTCACAGGTGTCCATTGCGTTAAATCCAATGGGCAACGGTGGCACCAGTGATGACATGCCTGACGTCTTCGATGAGTCAAGCTAGAGTCTCTCTTGACATGTGTAGAGATGTGAAAATAAACAATATATATTTATTTGTCAGAAGTGCAATTTTTGAAAATCAACAAGTGAACATCAACAAAGGAAAAAATTCTCGTCATTATTATGTAAATAATGTACCAAGTACACATTTTTTAATTAATAATACACATTGACTTAAGATCTGTATAATATAAAACTTAAGGAACTCTAGTTTTGTGGATTCTATCACCACAACTGCACTGCGCTTGGTTAATATAAATTTAATAAAATTTAAAATTGGTGTAAAAATCAACTAGTTAAATTTTTATGCTTTTTTTAACAAAAATTGCTCTGTTTAAATAAAATTTTGAGACAAGGAAATTTTTATTTTTGCTTTTTAGTGTATTACTTTCATGATCAGTGCAACAATGTGAAATGAAAATGAAAAGTACAACAATGCAAAATCGTTTATAACTGTCTCAAACGAAACAATAAAAATTTAACAACGATTGTTGCTTTCTTAAATTCTTTTGAGATTTTTGAGACTCTTTCACTTTTCTCAAAATGTTCCTGGAACAAGTGGTTTGGTCTGAAATTGGACCCATCGCGTGTGTGATTCTTCTGTGGCTTGCTAACGGCGGCTTTCTGTTTTATGGTGAGCCGTAGTTTTCAATTTTCCATTACGAGAAACTTACAAATTAGACAAAAATTCACAGCGTTCTGGAAAGATGTGACCCTTGTCCCCTTGCTCATGTTGATGTTGCGGCCGTCAATTTTGCCACCACTGACCAAAGGTGGTCCTCACCTTCGATACGCAATCTTTGTAGGAATATTTTACCTCGCAGAACTTCCATTTCTCCTGAACAACTCGTTAAATTCACCGTTCGAACAACTTCGTCTTGAGAATTGTAAATTATAATTCCCCAAATTTATTTTAATTTAACCCTTTGAAAATTTCAAAGGCTCCTGGGTACACACGATGATTGCCGATCCAATTTTCGGAATTCGAGAACTTAAAGTTGAAAAATGGAATTACTACATGACTGCCATCAACGCCGGTTTAATCATTGCCCTTTGCACACTACCCCGACAGATCACCAGCAACTTACCCACCATCACAACTCTGTATCGAGCTATTAGCAAAGAAGTCTTAGATTCTCTCGGTTGATTTATTTTATACAATTTTAATTTTATAATCTATATTTTTCCTTTCTTTAAAGTTTTCTTCACCACAAATTTGTCCCTGGTGCTTGCTGGTTGCGTGTGGCCGTCGGCGATTCATGCCCCGTACATTCTCGTGGCGCTTGTCTGCACTTTCGGCTGGGCCTCCAACGGCCACTGGATGACCAAAGAGCGGTTCCTTGGTGCACTGCGCCTCATCGGCGTCTATGTGGTCGCCCACTTACTGCTCGTCACCATCTATCACAACGCCTTCATCTACGAGCACGCCTGTTGCCACTTTATTCTAACAAAGTATAATTCATAAATCGAAATATTAATTTTTTTTATTTATTTTTAAAAAAAAAATACAATAGCATTTTAGGGCTGAAGAACATGCGAGACTGGGCCTGCAAAGAAAAGTGCACGACTGACAAAGACTCTTCACACTTTTTTATCATTCTCAGCTTGATGGTTGTTTCGTTTGCTGTCGCCCAGTGCAAATATCGAATAATAGTAATTTAATGAAGATAATTCAAAAAATATTTAAATATTTTATACCAATTTACAGGCAAGCCAGAAAACTGAAGATCTGCCTTTGACCACAACCAAAGAATTACTAGATCAGAGAATTTTCAAGAAGGTCAAACGAGAGGTTCAAGGAAACTTGCGTAATTAAATGCGTGTTTTTATTAAAATATTAAATTAAGGCACAAATAAAATTAGTAAAATCCTCGGCCATTTCCCTGGTGATCGCGGCGAAGGAGGCTAAAGTGAGGCAGGAAAAGCTCAAGAAGCAGATTGACGACTCGAGCACTGAGCTGCAGGACCTTCTCTTCGGCACCATCATGAACTCAACTATGATGGTCCGTTGTCTCTTACTAAATTTGCTTAGAAACTAATATTTATGTAAATTTTAAATGAAAAACACAGGTTTGGAGTGTGTTGTTTCACTCGTGGCTTGGATTCGTGATGTTGATGATGGCCAATGTAATGTGGATCATCCCGCGCCAGAGCGTCTTCATGAAGCGGATGGTGCGTTTCGTCTCGACTTACACCTGCATTCGCGTCAGCGTCACTTACTTGGCTAGTTTTACTTACGATTTTCCGGAAAGCATCATGGGCATCCACTTAAAGCAATTCGGGCTAAAATACGAGACGGAAATGGAAAAACTTGCTCTTTTCATGCAGGTTGGAATTTTACATTTGCTTCAATTAAAACAAAAAAGAAATTTCTTTCAATATAATAGTTCCTGTTTACGGCCATATGTCTGATCACGTACCGCCAATACACTAAGCCTTACATCGCGGGCCTAAATATACCTTTATCAGGTAACGGTTTTTTCTCAATTTTATGTACATTTAATTAAACATATAAAATTGATTGAAGGATTTAAGCGCTGGGTGAAGGTGATCAGTCTGATGTGGGTGCGTTATGCTCTTCTCGCTATTGTTGTTATGGTACTGTACGACGTGCAGACATTCAAGATCGTTGTCGTGCCCTTTTACGTCAGCATTGCAATAGCAATGGTATCAAGAGTTACTTTTTTATTATAAGTTAATTAATGTAAATTTTAAGTGGATTCCTCGACAACCTGGAGTGCCACTGACCATCTTCTTTTCGCTTCTGGTTGTGGTCGCAGAAATTAAGTTGATTCTCACTTATGTCTACAATTTTGCCGGCGCCTCCAAGTACATTGGCGAGATACTCGACCTATCCGACGTCAAGTATTTTATTGTTCGCAAATGTTTTTTAACTTTTGTATCCAATTCTTCTTTATTTTAGAATTTATTTTGCTTTCGGCCTGCGAAAGATGCAAGGCGGTGCTTTGCTGCTCCACCTTTGGCTGCCTAATATCCTCGCAATGTTTTCGGCAATCTTCCTGACTGCCCTGAAGCGCGAAACCATCGACAATTTACAGAGAAAGTGAGCAAAAAAATCGACCCTTTTGGCTTGTAATGAGCCTCGCAAATTGCCTCTCTCGTTTTCGCGAGCGTGGTCCACTTTTTGGAATGCGATTCAATTAAACTAGATTATTAATTGAAGAATTTCCTCTTCAGTTCGGAGCTCTGGGACGAGTCGATGAAGGAGCTACTTCTCGTTTCATCTATTAAAAGGCGGCCGGACAATGACGAGGAGAGCAAATCATTGGGCAAGCGGCGAGCTGCTCTATCTACAGTTGATAATGAGCTTGACGAAAAAATTAAGTGTGATTGATAATTATTCATTACGTTAATTTGATCGAAAATAATTGTGTTTAAAAAACCATTTTGTAGATGTTTTGTTTGAAAATCACATCAAGTTGACACTACTTCCCATTCGGAGCTTGAGCAAAGTAGGTATGTAGGTGGCCGAGGAGAATTATTCCGAAATAAGCGCAGGCCTCGTTTTTAATCAAGAGCGACTAATCATGTTAATGTTCACACAGGGAAGCCGCCGGGGCAGCTCGTCTAGCGAATTATATATTATGTAGGTTTGACAGCCGCGCGGCACTCCAATTTTCCTCGCGGCTCTGAAAGAGAAAAAGATGATTTCGTCTTTTGTGAATTAAATTGCTCGCGTGCGCGAGAAAAAAGATTTTATCGGTGTGCAAACACACGCGTGTTAAAAAGAGCGGCCGGAGAGAGACAAACGCTCGCTCTCTTTTCATTGTGCCGACCGAGCTGCGAGTGAGCACTTCTTCAACAGCAGTCGGTCGAATTGGATGGCATGATGCCGCCGTCGTCTGCCACTTTGATCTCCGCGGCCGCTTTTCTTGTCCTCTTCCTCTTGACTGCAGTCACTGTAAGTATATAGTTTCCCCTGCGTTTTTTAATTTGTATTTTAAAAATTAAAAAAGCGAGACATTTTTCTAGAATTTATTCAAGTACAATAACTAAATAGTCTATATTATCTAAGTTGTTAACGATGAGAGCTCTGAAATGCAAAACAATTTAAAATAATAATAAATAAAAAAAAAAACATCTGTTTCTATTACGATTTTTTGAAACAATAAAATTTTTCAGGATTTTCTGTTGAGAAAAAAAATGGTAGTAAAATATCACTTTTTATGTCGCATTTAAAAAAAAATGAATAGAGCTGAAGTGCTCGGCTTCTAGCCTTGCGCTTTATAGTCGCATAAGCACCGGCTGGAAACTCCGATTGATTAGAGTTGGCCTGACTTGTCACTTCTTGTCAAACAAACATACTTTATGAAAAAAAATTAAATAGCTTAATTTCACAATCGTACATGATAAAATTACTAAAAGCATAAATGAATTTTTATTAATAATTTTTGTAATAGTTTTCTGTTAAATTTTTCAATTGAATGTTAGGGCCATTTGTTCTCAAAATACTAAAATTATAATTATATAATATAACTGCTTTTTTTTATAAGTTTTTACTTAATGAGAATGACTAGAATTTCTTTTATTTTCACAGATATTTGAAATGTTCAATATTAAAGATTTTTAAATTATAAAAAAAAAAAATATAATATATAAAAATACAACAAGAGTTTTTGGAGTCTGTTATGGCTTACAATTAATATGACAATCAGTAAGAAAGTACCAGAAATTTTCTTCTAGCGGTTTTTACGATGACAGCAAGGTGAGGTTCAATTGTTCAAAAGTCAATGCCGTGAACTCTCTCTACTGCAGCGTGAAATTTTACGCGCTCTTACAGCTGTTGAAAGGAGAGATTAAGTAAAGTAACAGTTTTTATGATCCGCGTGAGGATGTGCACAAACTTTTAATTTTGATAATTATTAGCAACTTTCAAAAGCACTTTATATTTTACCTCTCACTAATGTTCAGAAGTAAATTAAACTTTTTACTTAATATGTCCCTATATAACTGGTCTTTTTAATGATCATGAACAATCATGAATAAGAAATGTCTTTTTAGAAGTTTTAAAACTTGTTGATAAATATAATATTAATTCAAATAAATTATTTCTTTCACAGGATTTGTAAAAATATTCATTAACTCTTTAACATTACTCAACAGAGCTATGATGGCCCCGGCATAATGCAAGTTCAAGTGGAAGGTTTTTTCAACCCTGACGGCCGCGACGCAACTGGTCGGTGCTGCGTCCCTCCACCCGAAAACACCACGTCCGCGGCAATTGGATGCGCCGACGAGTGCCGGACCTTTTTCCGAGTGTGTGCAGCTCGTGTGGGTCCCAACTGGCCCGAAGAGACTGACCTTCGGCAGCACACTCTTGCGTGCCCTCTTGGCCTTTTGGTGACCCCAACCATCGCTAACAATTCTCTCGAGCCTCGCAGGGATGGGCTGTTGCTCATGCGGTTTCCTTACAGAGAGTGGCCTGTGAGAAAAATTTATTATTAATTTTAAAATTTCATAAATTAATAAAATTATTTTTAAAACAGGGAAAAGTTAAATTGGTCATTGAAGCTTGGCACGACGTTACTGGCCAACTGTTTGGAAGAGATCCATACGAAAGTCCAGAAGGTTTGTGAATTTTTGTATTAACGGCAAAATAATGTTTTGGCAAAACCGCTACTTAAAAGGAATCTCATACAAAAAACTATGCATTTTAAATTTAAATTAATATTTAGGAACACCGTTTCCTTTTTTCTAACGGTAAGTGTATTATATTTTATGAGAGACCTTTTACGCAGAAACTCTGAATTAAGAATTAATTAGTATTAATAATATAAAAAAATTTCACAGCAGAAAAGGTGGCCAAAATGATTGTGCGCGTGGAGCGGCGTCACAAGTTGGTCTTTGGCGACGACTGGTTGCGGCGAAGCGTTCGGGTCAACCTGCCGCACCGGGGTCCTCAACGCAAACTAAATCGCCGTATCACTTTCACCTACGCCCTGAGATTGGCCTCAGTGCCCGATCCTTCCACCACAAGCACCACTTCTACCACGACGACAACCACAACCACCACGACCACTGAGCGTCCTGAGCGGGAAAGCGTCAGCCATAATTATATCTCTTCGTCTTCGACGGTCAGTTACACTCCTGTTTCAACTGTCCATGTCACCCACTTCCCTCAGGAGCCGCAGCCGCAGTACACGCCTATCGACGGTGTCTTCTTGCCGCAGAGTAGCAATGCCTACCCTTTACCACAGGCCGTCTTCACCCCATCGACCACGACACCTGCTGCTCCAGAGCGAGAATTCACTCTGCTGGAGAACACGTACCGACCTGACGAGGTGGTGACCGCCACCCTAGTTGAAGTTACCACCATGGTCCCTGAACCAAACGAGTCATCCGAAGATCGCTACACCCCCGTCGGAATTATTCCTCAGCCGCCGAAAAAGTGGCCGACCTTGCCCACTTCAACAGAGCCACCGAGACGACCTGAGGGTTTTTATGTTCCGCAGCATGATGACCCTGAGCCTGTTACACAGAGACCAAAAACCACGACGCCAAAACCTCATCACTCTACACCAACGGTGGACTATCATGCGGCCATAAACGGCGCCTATCTTGCCCATATGCTGGCAGGTCTGCCAGCCAAGCGTCCGACCCCCGCAAGCCCTCAAAGGGTCACTTATTCCCCGATCGGCGGATTCCACGTTTTTAAAGCTCCTGACCAAGAGGATGACGAGGAAAAGATGACTCCTCTGCAGAATATATACCCTTCTTCAAAACTTCCGATACCCGAGCCAATCCCATATAGTTATCCAACGACGGTACAATCAGACGTGAAGATCCAGAAGGTCACGGCAGCCCCTGTGAACATCGACCCCGCGCCAGAGAAAAGTTCCGAGGAAAGTTCCGAGCAAGTGGTTTTATCCTTTGTTGACTCGGCCATAGTGCAGAAAAACGAGAACGGCACCGAGTCTAGCGCCTTTGCAACCATGCCTGTCACCGTACTGGAAAAAACAGCCGAACAGAGAAACGCAACGGCATCTGTTATTTTAAAGAAGGACTCGTCGGAAGAAGATGAAGAGAGCGATGAGAGCCTAGATTCAGAAGAAAGAGAAGCTGTGGGTGCTCAGTCTGAGGACCTAGAGGATTTTTTCGACTACGCTATATTCCCTAATACTGCAGACTTTTTGTAAACGGCGTAGAAACAAAAGTTTAAACAAGTCATCTGCTTTTAAAATGCTCAAGTATCTCAAGATTAATTAAGTTCAAAAAATATCTAAAATCATTTATTAATAATAAAAAAATAACAATATAATTATTTATTTAATAAATATATATTTTTTTAAATACTGTATGTACATCTGTGTGAAGGTTTTAGATTTTAGTCTTATGTTGTGAACTGATCTGTAGCTACAATTTAAACTGTTTACATTTTATATAAATTCAAAATTATATTGAGGCCATTGAGGGTGTTATTGTAAATTGTGAAAAATAACAATAAAAGTTTTGTATTTTTATATTTATTATAAGAAATTTAATTAATATAATATTATTTTCACCAGAGTTTGTTGATAAAAACTAATGCAAAAATGAACCGAAAAAAAAACTAAGTAATAAAATCGTCTTTGAACTTAATTTTGGTCTAAACAAAACTTGTCAACCACGTGACCGCCAACCACAAGTCAATCAACCCGCCGCGGGAGCAACTTTCTAATCCTTGAACTTGACTGTGTTGATTTTCTCGTGCGCTCGGCAAGGAAGATGTAAAAAAAAGTATAAAAAGACACTGCCACCAACAAGTTGAAGTCGGTTGCGTCACTGGAGTGCTGTTTGGCCCCGTTACCCAGTCCCTACCTCTCCAATCGCATCAATGCAAATTAATTGGCTCAACATTAAAATCTAAATAATGTACAGCTTTCAAATATAAATAAAAATGAAAAAATAATTTTTATTTCTTAGAAATTAAGTCATGATAAATAAACGTCAAAACGTGAGTCATTTTGATTTCTAATTCTGCACGCAGAAAGTGTGTGCCGAATGTCGGTCAGCGACGATGGGAGGTCATTCTGAGGGGGCAATTTTATAATTGCGCTTTCTTGTCGAGCGAGAGCAATGACCACTAGCGAAGAAGTGGCAATTTGCAGCGAAAATAAATTAAGGGCGCCGGCCCTTTGGTGCAAAAAGCAAGCTCATGCTGATGAGCTTCGTGCGTTTATGCGAAGCGAGAGCGACGGTCCGACAGGCGGCATAGAAACCTGATTTGTATACGTCTCGAACGTTTTTGGGCCAGATCAGGCGAATAATTGCGCTTGGGATTCTGTGCTGCTCTCTCGAATCGGACGCTAATTAGCATCGGCATTAAGCCTTAATTAGAGTGCAGTATATATGTGAGACGCAATCTAGATTCAACACGTGGGAATGTACTCGAACTGAGACGAAATCTGGCCGAAATCGTCTCGTTTTTGTTATCGGCACAACCGCAATCTGCTTCTTCATTCGAACGGTGCTACTTTTCGTCAGGTGTCGCGAAATATAATAAATAAATGTAGGTGATTGCGGCGATTTTCGCAGTGAGTGGGCTGCTCTTTCAATTCGCGAAACGTTGCCGGCACCTAATTCATTGTGCATGCGGCTAAAGGAGCGAACGAGTCGGGAGCATCGCGCGCGCGAGTCATTCCAGTTTTACAGTTACCTGCGCGCCAGGTCGGCCAATGAGACGGAGGAGCCGTAGCTTTTTTAAATAAGTCGGTGGCCGTAGCGAGTCAGTCGACAGGTCGCTCTCGAGCCGCCTGCAGTGTTTAATTTTTGTTCCTGAAATAATTAAGATGAACTCGTTATTCGTGATTTCGGCGATTGTCCTGTGCGTCCTCGTACCAGAGGTCGTGCCCACCAGGACCATTCCAAAGTGGAAGAAGCAGGTACAGATATTTGAATTTAATCTTTAAAATATTTATTTATTTCAAAAAGATATAAATTAATGCTTGCAATGGTAACATACGATTGAAGTTTAAAATTGTTATTTAATTAATAATCTTTCACTCCTAATTACATTTTATTAACTCTCTAATTGTTTACTATAGTTTATTATTCTTACGTATTAAAAAAAAAATGAAGATTGTTTAAGTTCACACATTTTTTAGATTCGTTTTTTCAAATCTGATTGACAATCAATTTTTTTTCTTCACATTTTTCATGAGAAAAATTAACAACGGGAGTTAAAATCTCCAAATCTGTAAATTTAATTTATTTCGAGACACTTCCATTTGAGCTTGAGGTCAAAAACCTCGTTTTTTTTTCATCTTTAACGCTTCTTCGGAATTACAAATTGAGGAAGACTCTTCCTCAATTTGTAATTATATATGCTTTCTCGGCCAATAGCCTTCAGCCGCCCGCAATGCGCGGTTCGATTTGGGATGTTGTGTCGAAGGGAAAGCGGGACACAGATCGGAGCAGGAAAGCCCCAAGTGGATAATACAAATGAATCTCGTTACACATTCGCGTCGTGGGTTGTGAATCACCGCGCGGCTTGCTCAGGTCACTTCTCTCGCTGGATGCCGCACCCATTTAAGTGCGAAACCAGAAAGAAAAAAACCAGAGAACGCTCTTTGCGCAAATAAAAATTACAGTTGCTCGCAGTTCCGGGGTCAAAAATCTCTTCGGGCGCTTTGGTTCAATTTGATCAATTAATTATCTCTTGAATTTCTTTTCGCACGTTTTGATTGCGTGACGAGCTTGATTGTGATTCAAATGAGGCTAGTTAAAAATGGTGATGCTAAATAGAGCCGTTTGAAAATAAATAATAATTATACCGTTAATTGGCGTCTTCCAACATTCATTAAAAATTTCTCACAAAAGATACAGCATTAAAAATTATAAAAGATAATGAGCAAATATATTATTTTGTTATTAGGCATGTGAACTGCCAGCGACCCAGCAGGACTCAAACAGCCATTACACATGTGACGAGAGTGGTGAAATGCTGTGTCTTACCGGTTGGACCGGCGACATGTGTGACGTTCCTATTTGCAGGAAGGGTTGCGACCCCCTCCAGGGATATTGCAAACGACCCGGCGAGTGCAGATGCAAATTAGGTACAAAAATATATTTTTTTTATAAGTCATCTCATTATAAATGAAATAATAAATATATTAAAAATTAATTATGAATATTTTAATCAATTGTTACTTTAAAAAAAAATATATAATATAATTTGCTTTAGGATTTTACGGTGAAAAGTGCGACAAGTGCATTCCTTTGCCCGGCTGCCAACACGGCTATTGCAACTCAAGCTTTGAATGCAACTGTCACAAAGGCTGGGACGGCATCTTCTGCTCAGAACGTGAGTTTTTTTTATTATAACTTTTTTTTCATTAAATCTAATTGCAAGATAAATATTATCTTTTGCAGCGGTGTGCAGAAGCGACTGCCACCCTCAGCGTGGTTACTGCGAGAGCCCTAACGAGTGCCGCTGCCGTTTAGGCTGGGCTGGCGAGACCTGCAAAGAGTGTCAGGTGCTGCCTGGATGCCAGCACGGCTTCTGCAACAAACCCCTGGAGTGCCGATGCCAAGAGGGTTGGACTGGACTTCTCTGCCAAACACGTAAGAATTTTCAAAAATTTGTAGTTTTATTTGGAAATGTATTTAAAAGAAAAATCTCTTTTTTAATTAGTTGTGTGTATTAAATAGAAAAAACAAATCAATCCTTAACTTTTTTTAACAATTAATTTAATTTTTATTATAAAGAGAATATGGAATTATTATTCTTTATTACATAATATATCATATATTTATTTTTTGCAGCTATTTGCTCTGGTACTTGCCATCGCGAACGCGGCTACTGCAAGAAGCCTGGTGAGTGCCGTTGCAGAACCGGATGGTGGGGCAAGGACTGCGATGAATGTTACCCTTACCCTGGCTGCGTCCATGGATCGTGTTCCAGGCCTTGGGAGTGCAATTGCGAGCCTGGCTGGGGAGGCATGCTCTGCGACCAAGGTATTAATTATCAAATAATTGATTTTTATGTTAAATTTAAATTTAAACCAAAAAATTTTCAATGTATCACATTTAAAATAATTGTTTTGTTGAAAAAAAAATGATTATATATTATGAAATGATTTATTTTTTAGTCAAGATAAGATTATCCAACCTTTGTCAATGTTTAGCTATTAATTTTTTTAACTTTTAATTTTTTTATCCTTTTTTTATCTTTTTCATTTTTATTTTTATTTTTGTAGAGTTGACCTATTGTCAAGATCATACTGACTTGTGTGAAAATGACGCTAAGTGCGTGAGTCTGTCGGAGGAGGATGGAAATTACCGGTGTATTTGCACTGAGGGTTTCACTGGTCGCAACTGCGATGTGCCCAAGACGCAGCCAACCACTGAGCGGGTCAATGCCACCGAGGCCACCACTACGACCACGACTGCCGCCCCCGCGAACGAGAGCGAGAACGAGGCCACGCAGCGTTCGCGCAGAAAGTCCAAGATCATGAACTGGGACAAGAACTGAAGAGGAACCAGCAGGAAACTCAACCCACCTTTGCATTCAAGTCAAATCTTGCTGTTTAATTCTCCCCACAATGATTTATTTGTAAGACAGAGCAGAGTTGTCATGTAGTAACTTATTTTGATTTATTTATTTTTAATTTATTTATTTATTTATTGGGTAAATAATAAAGATATATTGAAATAAAACATGTGCTTGGTCACTCTTCTTTGGCGTCAAGATTTTCGACTTTCATCTCTTTGAGGACGATTTTGATGCTTGCAATCAGCCGCTCCATGTCGGCGGCGTTCAGGTCTCCTATGTGACCGATTCGGAAACAAGGAGCGCGAGTCACTTTCCCTGGATAGATCACCAACCCTATGTATATAATTTTTTTTTATAAAATGATGCCGCGAGTAATATGAATTATTTAATATTAAAAATTATACAGTACAATCAATATAAAATATAATACCAAGTGCGCTGAGGTTTTTATAGAATTCCTCAAAGTTGAAATTCGGATGGTCAGGAAAGCGGAAGCTAGAAATTATGTACCCATCGGCGCCTTTCTTGTTCTTATCGAGCAGTGTCCTGAAGCCCAACTCCCTCATTCCGTCTTGAATAATTTGGCAGTTCTTCTTATACCTGCGATTATTGTAAATAAAACCAGGTCTTAACTTTTTCACAATTAAGGCACCTATGAGCTCGCGCTGCGGGTCCTCCTTCATCCCAAAACTCCTTCAGGGCTTGCCTGAAGGCGAGAAGAGCGTGCGTCGGCGGCGTGAAACGAAATTGGCCGTCGCCCTCGAGTCCCTTGTGCTGCGCCAACAAGTCCAAGCTCAAGCAACGTGCGTTGCCTATTTGCAGGATTCAGTGATTAAAAAATATTATTTTAATAAATATTTAATTATCAGTTTTTAGAGTAATTGTATAATGGGAAAAACTAAATTATCTTTTTATATTTTTTCATTCAGACGTAACGAATATTTGGCGAAATTTCCATTTCATTAACTGCCATCATTACCAGGATCTATGCAGCCTGCTTTGCAGGCCAGTTTAAACTGTTGCCTATGTATCTGTTTTAAGTATTCTTATCGCTGATTCAAACGCCACTTTACGTCAATCCGTGCAAACTCGGCTGTTGGTTAGTTGCTATTTTTACCTACAGAAAAAAATCAGACGTGGAAACCCTGACCAGCACTATAACGTTGAATCATAGAATGAAATGCAGCTCCACTAATTCCCTTTACTGGCCCCTCAATGCACTTTTTTCATTTTTTTATTAATGTATATTGGATGATACTTTTGATAAAATATCAAGTTATGTTTGATGGCGTTCAACATTGTTTGCGTCACATATTATAAAAAAGGCATGAATGAAATTTCTGCGACCGAGTATCTGTGACAAAAGTAGGGCAACAGGAAACGGCCATTCACTTTTGGTTTCATTGCCAAGACGACGCGCGATGGCTCAAATATAAAATCTACATTTATTTTCATCCTTATCAAAAACGCATTAAAAGTTAATAAATAATAATCCACAAGTCTAAAAAAGCTTACATTTAATAGGTATATTAATTAATATTTTTTACATAGATTAAAAATAAAAATTTGGCTCACCTTGACACAGCAGTAATTTCTTGGTGCGAGCAATCACAAAAGCAAATCCCGGCACTCCTTGAAGACACTTGTTGGCCGAGCTGACGAGGAAGTCAACGCCGGCGCTTCGCAGATCAAGCTCGACGGCGCCGAAACTGCTCATGGCGTCGACAACAAAGACGCACTCAGGTCGTTGGCGTTTGACGGCGCGCCCGATCGACTCGATGGGGTTGATTACGCCAGATGACGTTTCGCAGTGGACGACGCACACAGCTGAAAATTCGATTTTCGACTCGCGTAGCAAATTTTCCACCTGCGCCTCGCAAACCGCCTCGTCCTCGCCGAATTCCAGCACAACCACCTCAATGGATGGCACGTACGAACACATGCTCTGCATCCGGCGACCGTAGGCGCCATTCACCAAAATTAAAATCTGCAGAATTTCAAATTAGAAGCAAATACACAACAAATCACTAAATTTAAAAAAAAACAGTTTAAAAATTAGTTGCAAATTAGATTTCAAGAAATTATGTATTTGGCTCAGAATTAGGGCAAGTTTCCCACAAACTTGGGTTCTTATTATGAGAAAAGTAGCAAAATTGAAAATTGTGGAAATTTAACAAAGAATTCCCAAATTTTTCCAGCTTTTTTTTAATTGCAACTTACAACAAAATTGTAATACATACAATCTATAGAACAATCTATTAATTAGCTTAGTTATAAATTTCCCCTGCCCCGTTCTTTGATGAGGGAGGAAAAAATTGATGCGCAATCTTTAATATATTTTAGCTCTATTATAAGTCTAAGTTTGCGCCTTTGACGGCCAAATTAGTGTAATGCAAAGACTATGAGATCGTTTTAAGAAAAAACAAATTAAAAAAAAGTTCTATACATTGAGGATTCTGAATAAAAATTTTGTTTATACCTTTCCCCCGGATCTAGGAAGCACAGTGTGCAGAACAGCTTCGACGGCATAGGTTCCACTACCCTGGAGCAAAAGAGCAGTGAACTCGTCGCATCCGACTCCTGGTAAAGCAAGACAATTTAATAATAATCCGTTTTTCCCCAAACAACCAAACTCGCGGATCCAAGCAAAACTTTCTCCCATCAGTTATTATATAAAGTGTTGCGTCGCATACCTGCCACCCGCAGCAGCTCAAGGCGGATTTCCTTCACTGTCTGTATGAATTCTAGGTCGCGTGAACCGAGGTCTCGAAGCATCGCCTTCTTCACAGACAGCGTGCAGTTTAATGGACCGGGAGTGAAAAGTGCTTTGTTGCCATCTAAACATTTTAGCTTGTTATTAAAATTATTGAAATAATTAAAACAGATGAACCGCTTCTCTTTGTAGACATGGTGCCGCAGAATGAAGCTTTTCTTAAATCTTGCTTCTTGGTCCTCCGTTGACATTTTAACCCTTGTGATAACGCAACAGATAAAAGAAGGGCATCTCAGCGCGACTCTAAAGAGCCTTTTGTCTTCGTCTTTTTTATTTATTTTTTACTTTTATTTTAATATAATATATAATGTCATATTTTTACATTAAAAATAATATATGCATAAATATATTTTTACGCAATAAAAATTCAAATTTACAATATTTTATAAAAAAAATTAATAATTAATATTAAATTTTATCAGAAGAGTGTTATTTTATTTTATTTTTAACTCACTAACACTATATATAATACTTGGATGCTGTGGACGTTATAAACAAATTTTTCATTAAATTATAATTAAATTTAATAATTGAACATTCTAAGACAAATAATAAACAAAAAAGTCGCAGAAAAAAATGCAGTTCAATAAAGTTTTCCTATTTTTTATCTTCGTACTAGAGGTTCAGTGCCAAGGTCAAAGCTCCCATGCAAACTTTCTCCGACGACCGTCCTGGAAGTTGTCGGCATTGCAGCGCATTACTTGTTATGTATTACTAGAACTGCAATAATAATGCACGTCCGCAGCCGACCTTCTCGTTGCATAATAAACTGCACTGACCGCCGGCGATCTAGGCAAACCAGAGTTTGCGAAAAATCCTTCGTCGCTGTGGAAAAAAGCTAGCGCGATTTTTCTAATCAGTTACTCGCAAGTGATGGCATCAGTTCGGTTGGCTGGCGTACTGCTGGCTGCTCTCCTGTGGGCCCACTGGGCCCCGGCCCAGGGCTTGGAATTCTACAAGCGCGGCACTCTAGAGGAAGATCAGCTTGAGGCATTCATCGCCCCCGCGTCTCCTTTAATTAAAAACGAGCAATGCCGAATCGACAGTTTGCTGTATCTCGCGCATCTGAGGAATTTCACTCTGTGGGCAGTAAAAAGTAAGGCTAAATTTATAAAAGAGAAAGTTTCATTCATCATTGGCTATAGCAACGCACTTCTGTATAGGAGCAAATGTTGCCATGGTCGAGCGGATGTGACTAATACACACATTTTAATAAATCCGCACTTTGGAAAACCCACGCGAGCTCACTCCGCACCGCGCAACTTTATTATCATTTATAATTTAATTGCAGAGACGTCTTATCTTCACGCATGCCACCGTACGTTCTCTGTCTGCACGTACGAAAAATTAGTTCTGGGAATGAGTTTTGAAATGTGCTTAAAAGGTCTAACAATAATGTGTACTGCATACAGTTCAAATCGGGGATCCCCAGAAGTTTTATTTCAATTGCAAATATATTTTATCAACGGACGCTTTTCGCGCGCGCAAATAAAAAGGAATATCTCGTTTTTAACTAAAAAGAGCAGACTTTTTTGAAGGGCTAAGAGCTTCAAATAATAATGTTTTATTTCTATTAATTTATGAAATAATTCAACTTCATTTAATTTAAATTTGCAATTTGATAAAAAAAAAATTCTCTCTTAATTGGTCACCCATTTCTCATGAGCTTATTTTAATTATATAAAAATTAAATTATTTTTTAAAAGATTGAAACCGGGCGAACCTCGTTGCAAAGAACAATGAAAAAATAAAAAATAAAGGACAACTGACCCCAAAGGCGACCTGCGGTCTGCTGGTACTTTAAACCTAGGGTTTCTTGTGTCCGACTAAAACTAATTGTAAGTGGGAGGAATTCTTTGCAACGAGGTTCGCCCGGTTTCAATCTTTTATGAAATCCACATCGAGTGTTACCATTCAATTTAAATTATTTTTAATCAACCAGTGTTCGACGCCAGTGCAAAAGTCCCTGTGGGCCTCTTGGCCGGGTCCACATTCCAAATGGGCCATTTCGACGAGTGCCTTCAAGTTGGGTCCGAAGAAGCACCAACGGAAGTTGTGCCTTTGACCGCACCTGTCAAAGCACAGTACTGCCTGGCGCGAATCGTAATTGAGCCTGAGCATGAGACATACCCTGGTTTCAACAGAATCGACCGTCCGCACGCTTTCAGTTTGCAGTATGACCCCCGAGCTTCTGCTTGGGAAAAGTTTATGGTGTGTAATTATAAATTTATTGTTACTCAAATATTCTTTTCAAGAAACAAAAATAAAGAAAATGATAATTATCGTAAAAAAGCATGAAATTTATGATAAATATTTTCAAGATGCTATTTATATTGATAAACTAAAATTTTGTTTCCCCTTAAAATATTATAAATAGTCACTGTTCACATTATTTAAATTTTAAACAGAGATTAATTTATAAAATTTATAATCTGAAATTAAAAAACGCTTGCAAATTTAGATCCCATTTGACCCATCGAAAAAGCCGCGCAACTCTTTCCACTGGGCGACGTGCATCCCGTCCAGTTGTTCTGCCGCCGACTTGCAGACGTCTCTTGATGCCGCCCTGCAACCATTACGCAAAAGACACGCCGTCAGCTTGAAAGTGGCCGTCGACGATCAGCTTTGCACCCTGGCTGGTCACGAACCCTTCCACACTAGTGACTTTGTAGTCATGCAAGTTAATAATGCCACATTCAAAACAAAATATTTATTGCTGCCTATATTTTAGAGCAATCATCCTCCTGACTTTTGGCGTTGTGTTGGCGGCGTCTTTCTTTGACATGGCAATTTACAGACAACGACCGGTTGGCGAGGAAAAACCCTTAAGTATATTTGTTTTCAAATAATAAGCTTATCTTTATAAAATGTACGTCATAACGCAGCCACGGGACAAGAGGTGCTAATGACATTTTCGGCCTGCACCAATTTGGAGAAACTAAATAAACCGGACCCAACCGACGATATGGGAATTTTGCACGGCCTTCGTCTCTTTTCAATGGTTTTCATCATATTAGGGCACCGTTGCCTGTTCACTTATGGTGGCCCCTTTTTCAACCCTGAGTTTCTTGAAGAGGTATTGTGGATTTTTTTTAATTTTTAAGTATAAACTATTTACTAATTTTTTGTCCATTCAAGCGATACCGAAAAATTGAGGATATGGTCCTTTTGAATGGAACTCTCCTTGTGGACACCTTCTTTGTTCTCAGCGGCTTCCTGACTTGCTTTGGAATTTTGTTGGAAGTTCACAAGAAAAAGAATATCAGTGTCCCAATGCTTTACCTTTACCGCTGGATGAGGTATATTTTTATTTCTGCGTGACTTTAGTTTTCCTCGCTAGCAATCATAAATTATTCAATTAGATTGACACCCGTGTACATGATGGTTGTAGCGTTTTACGCCACCTTATTAAACAAAGTAGACTCAGGGCCGATCTGGAAAGCAAGGGTTGGTCTCGAGAAGGAACGATGCGTTGACAACTGGTGGACTAATTTGCTCTACATTAACAACTACGTAAACGCGGAACGATTGGTAAGTTTCAAATTTTATATTTTCATGTCGTCCTAAAAATGTATTAATTTTATCAACATAATATATATTAATATATTTTTAAAATAAATTGCGTGCATGTCAGAGGGAATGGAATATAAAATATAGAGCGGAACTTGTCAATATATGTGTTAAATTTTTTCTATAATTTATTTTTTTATTAATTACTGTATTTTTTCAGTGTATGTTCCAATCCTGGTACATAGCATGCGACATGCACTACTTCTTGATCGCGCCTTTGATCGTCATCCCTCTGTACAAGAAGCCGAAACTAGGATTGGCTCTGCTGGGTGGCGTGATTTCTCTCGCCATCGTCATTCCCTTTGCGGTAACTTTCATTGGCGAGTATATCGGTGTTCTCCGCGTTTATATGAGGTACGCTCTTTTTATTTCAAAAATTATGCAACTAATACATGAGAATAAAATTCGCAAGGAGAGGAAGAGAAAGTTTTAAATTAATGCGAAAATGTATAATCGTGTCCGTCTAACCTTGAGACGATTAGTTGCCACCGCGAATAAAAAGCAACAGTAAATTGACAACTGCTTCAAAAAATTTGCATAATGTCTAATGTCTTAAAGGATTTCGATTAAGAATAAAAAATAAATTGTAATTTTTAGCTTGCTGGAAGATCCACCTTCTAACAAGAACTACTTCGCAGTCTACATGAAGAGTCACAATCGCGCGGCGCCTTATTTCATAGGCATGGCTGCTGCTTATTTGTATGGAATCCTGAAGCTGTCTGATATCAAAATTCCAAAGGTGAGCTATTTTTATGAAAATAGATTAAACAAGTTTTATTGGAAAAAAGCAAAAACATGATTAAATAAAATTTTGAAATCAATTTTGAATGTTGGCATTCAATTTATAATTAAAAATATTTTGATTTAGCAATTCCTCACGATTTATTTATTTATTCTCCATTCAATGCAGTCAGAAGTCATGAAAACATTGAACAATTAATTGTATACTGACAATAAGATATTATATTGTGTGGTTCTATGATAATGTTTTATTTTTTCTGCATTAAAAGCTTGTAAAGTTTCAGAAAATTAAATTAGAGGAATAATTAACAGTAAAGGATATGTACGAAACTTGTAATTGTTGATTTAATTAATGCCAGTAAGAAGGGAACAAACTTTAGATTTCCTATATATCTGAGAAGGTTAAATAAAAATTTAATTTTTCTAAATCATTTTAGAAAATTATGTGGATCTGCTCTCTTGTGGCCACAGTGCTCGGATTGTCGTCTATGTTTGGTGCGTGGGTGTTTTATATACCCGGCAGAGAATATTTCGCTTTTGAAAACGCGGCATACGCTTCTCTGCACCGCGTCGGCTGGGCACTGACCGTCGCTTGGGTCATCGTTGGTGGATGCACAACGCGATTTGGAATCCTGCAACCCTTGCTGCAAATTCACGCCTTCTTGCCTCTCAGCCGACTGACCTACTGCGCCTTTCTAACGCACGGCGCGGTGCAATTGTATACGCTCGCAACTCTACGCCAGCCCGAGTTCATGAGTTTCCCAAAATTGGTAAGGAAACATTTATTTAACTAAACATTGAAAGAAGAGTTTATATTTGATTTAATTTCATAAATTTTAAATTTTGTTATTTCCAGTTCTGGATGGCCTCTGGCGACATCACCATTTCCTTCATTATCGCATTATTTGTTCACCTGTTCTTTGAAGCACCACTAGGCGGAATTCAAAAAATGCTCCTCAAAAAAAGTAAAACGGCAAAACACACAAGTAAAAATTATATTTTGACGGTTTCTCTTTGCTTTTTCAGAAGCGAGCAACAGACAAAGAAATAATGGACGAGCGCCCATAAGAGAACACACTGTAAATGAGCAACCACCACTCTCACTAGTAGCCACCCCACCATCAGAGGACGAAGTTAGAGATAATGTAGAGATTTGCGCCACAGATAGCGGTGAAAATAATACAGTAGAAGCTTCCACAACTGGAAATACAATTGATGACGTCCCAGTACTTATAGAGCAGACTACTGTGTAGTTTTTTATCCTTATATTTCTTTTTCATTACTTCTTAAAATACATAAAATTATAATAATTTATTTTATTCAGACTATGTAAGTTTGATAAGAAAATATAAATAATCTTCCTACTTTTATAAATATTCTTTATCAAAGTTAAAAAAAAAAAACATTCACATTGCAAGTCATTGTATATTTTTCTTGAACATAAATAAGCAAATCGAATCACACCCTAACCAAAATAAACTTTAGGCTTTGCAGTTAAAAAATACTTCATATGTGATGTTACACTGAAAAAAATTGAAACAATTATAAAAAAGCATTAACGTGGCCACAATATTATAATGTACTCTATCTACGCTGACTAAAATTTTGCTCACACCAAAAATTGGAAAATGAATGTGGCACCTGAATATTTTAACAAAATATTTTATTGATATTTATTTATCTTATAATAAAAAATAAAAAAATTATAGAATCATTAAAAAAATCGGTTTTTTTACAATTCTTTTAACGATTAAATGAATAAAATAAAAAAGGTATTTTCTGCTAAGCAAAATAAAGTCTACGACTTTCACGGTTGGAACCTTCGAGAACTGGCTTGGATCGCTATATCTCACTCTGAAATAGCAGGGAGGTTAGACTTCAGACTCGTTCCACTCGTTTATTCAAGAGGACGAAACGTCGTGTATCGCAATTCGCAGGTCATCATGGCACAAAAGAATAGGCGCCGCCACAATGCACCGAAACGACGCTTCAAGACGAATTTTGTTGATTCACCTGGGCAGGTTGCCCCCGACTTTTTTTCAAAGGAATCAAAAGTTAGTGTATAATTATATTATGCTTATAAAAAATTCATTTTATATTATTATTATTAAATAAATACACAAGACCAAAATTGAAGAGCTACACAACTGGTAAGTAAAGGTTTATTATTATGCATTTTTCATTGGTTATTTTATGGGCACATTACGCTTTTTACAAAATGCAGGATAAAACCGTGCAACATATTGACACTTTCTTACACTACACAACACTTGAAGGCGCTAACTAAGATTTCAGGTTCATAGCATGGATTGCATCTGTATAATTAAATGTGCACAAACTTGTGATGGATAATGCAAATTGATCAAGACTGTACTGTACAACAATTTTCCCCCTGCAAAAATCTCATGTGCCAGCAGCAATTTTAGTGATTAATTTTGTGTTGTCATGTTGTGATAGTGATAATTGCTTGCGGCCCATCACGGCGCGGACCTCTCTAGAGGCCCCGCGTTTTAGCAACTTGTTTGCCAGAGGTGTTGCTGTTTCTTCACTTAATTGTAATTTGTTTTCATTTGACTTTATTTGGGAAGAATAAACAAGATAAAAAAAATCTCATTCTTTTCCATAATATGAGAATAACGCGTAGAGAACGTTGAGCAGGATTATCAGTTTTTTGCCAATTTTGTAAAAAATAATAATTTAAAATTTAAAGCTTACTTAATATGTTTGGCAATTTCTATAATACTTTATAATCTCAAATCACTAGCATTAGGTTTAATCCTGCCTGTAAATGACGCCCAATAAGTAATTGATAATATGCAACTCTTTCGTAACAAATTTTAATAATGCACAATGCACGGTAAATTTTAAATAAAGTAGACTAATAATAGCAAAATTTCAGAAAAAAATCAGAAAATTTTCATCAGGGAAGAAGCATACAGGAGCAAACCCCCACGGCTTCTACCCTGAGTCACTTAACGGTCAAAGTGTTGGCGCCTGCGATAGAGCTAATTGCAGACCTGATGGAGGCAGAGGGGGCTCCAACTTCGGCAACGGTGGGGATGGCGAAGACCCGCGTCGACCAAATCACCCTGGTAATATCTAGCTTTAAGACCAACCCCACTTCAATCATATTACTTATTCGCATTTTAGGCCTGACGCTATCAACTCGACGTCATTATTTGATCTTGTTTCTCATCCTGCTGATCCTTATTTGCGTCCTAATCTTCAGCACTGCTTGGGCATTATGATAAAATGATGAGATTGATGAGCAAACGGGTTTATCCTTGTTGAAACTTAACATTTTAAACTCAGAACACACCATATGCATATTTTTGTAAATCAAAACATTTTTTTTTTTTTATACATACCTATTATTGCCAACACAAATACATTGGCATTTATAATTTTAAATTTTATAAATATCTAAAATGATTAAAATTTTGTACAACAGCTACACATTTTAGATGCGTGCAATTCATTAAATTTTATTTTTATTCATTGCAAATTTGAACTTTTCCAAACTATTATTGAAGGAATTTTGCGATTTTGCGGACCAAAATTTAAAAATAAATGATAATTTAATGGTGAGTGTTTAGAGCTAATTTTGAGCTTTTGCTGATTTTGTATTTAAATTAAATAAATCCTTTTCATTATTGCAATAACTAGACCCAGTGAAGGAAATTAAGGAAAGGTTATAAATAGAAAAAAAAAATTCAAGAAGAATTTTATTTGGCGTATTTGGCTCACTGTAAAATTTTTAAATAAACAATATCCAAGTTTGAATGAACTGCGACAACTGCATTTTATTTTTAGTCTTTAATAAGCTTTTTTTAACCTGATTTTAGTAATTTTATAAACCGGTTTAATGCCCAAACGGCACTGACTTACGACGTCACATCCCAATTTCAACGTACATGCTAGGCTTGTAAGCCATCTGTCTTCTATCAAGAACAAGTTTTAATACGTCATCATAAAATTAGAATTCAAAAGTGAACAAGTTTCTCTTTTTGGACACGGATAGAAAGGCAATTTAGTTTTCAAATATGTTTGCAAAAATCTTCAAATTCCTTTGCAACTGTTTGTTACCTTCATTTTACGCCTGTTTGATAAGATTGTGTGTTTATTTGCTCATAATACTGCTTGGACATCACCGACTCTGCAAACTAGACATCAGTCCAATCCATTCCGCAAACAATCCGTTTTTTTTATACTTTGAGAGACCGAGATCCGTTTCCACGGACAGAGCAAAGATGAAGTTTTTGCTCAAGGAATCCTTATTATTGGCATAGTCAAATAAAGTTTTTACAGCGGTGGTTTAAATTTCTAGTTGTCTTCCAATAATCGCAAAAATTGGCTTTTATTTGTTGTCAATAAAATAATGGAGTGTCTCCTTTAAATTAACAATGCGATTAACGCTGCTTTTAAGGCAAATTCAATTTTCAAATACCACTACGAATAGCTATTTTTATTGTGTGAGAAAAGTTTCTCAAAAACTCTCAAACAGTGACGTTTTCAGCCGACGTCATAGTTTTCTGCGGGCCAGGTCCGTCACGTCTGCGTTGATACGCCAGGTTATTATCCATGACGTCAGTAGGCGTGCTCTGTAGTAAATTTTAGGCTATATAAGCGGGACGTTCTCAGGTTATTTGCACAGTATAGGCTCATCGTCAGACAAGGCACGTTCAATTTTGTGTTAATGCTCCAACCCTGGATTAGAGCTGCATCAAATCAACCCCCAGGAATCGTATTAAGTAGGCATTATTATTATAATTATCATCACATTTTCATTTTACGAACAAGTAAAATTAATTATTAAGGCTAACACCGCTATGCAAACTGTTTATATTGATTTATCAAACTTTTTTAGGAATTCTACAAAGATGTGCATTAAAAGAGATATTATTGCCGCATACAAAAAAGTTGTCAAGATTAACACCGGTGCTCGACCAAACAACCATCTCGTCGCTACTATTGCAAACAACCTACCAGGTCGAGCTTGATACATTTGGAGACATGGGATTTATTTCTTTGAGTAAAATTTATATTTTGCAATCCACCTGTTCTTTCAATGTGTTTGAATTGTCAACACTTTGTAGAAAAATTATGTATAGTTGCAAATTTCTTACTGAATATTATTGGTTAATAAACAAATCTCGCAAAACTGAATGTTTCAATATTTTATAAAAAAAAATATAAAAACTACTTCAATAACCAAAGAGCAAAATTTTCATCGATAGCAAAAGAAAACTAATTTTAAATTACTTTAAGTTGCCGAATTGTTAACTGATTCAACAGCTTTATCTAACAATCTTTTCATTTATTCTTGTAGGCAAATTTACTTAATCTGAGCCTGATCTGAGAGTATAAATGGACCAAATAAAAAACACTTTTGAATTATATAGTTGTTTTCATTTCCAACATTAACTTGAATTGTTTCCCCCAAAATCAATTTAGTATAAGAGTGATGATATAAAATTAAAAAATGCATCATTCATAGGTGAATGCGCTGGGTTCACTGAAGTTGCTAAATCCTTGTATAATACCAAGTGTTTTTATATCTTTCTAGTTAATAATAAGAAAATAATATTACCCCACGTTTTTCTCATAAGATAATTGGTAAAACTTTGACATTAAAATGAATTAAATCAAATAATGAAATACCCTTAAAAATATTCAAATATGTAAATGCACATGTTGAGGTTAGGACGAAGTTGAATAAATATTTTTATTTTAAAATTACACAAAATTTGAAAACAGGACACTAGTGAGTCAAATGTCAAATTCAACAAGTAAACTAAAACACAGTTCAATCTTGCATTTAACATGGTCATGCAGAGGAAGACAAGAGTCTGCCTCCAAAATATCATTGGAATGAAAAACTGTTAAATTAATACTCATTACGAGTCTATGTGAAAGTGAAATAAATAATTATGAGGATCACAATAATTTCACGCCTCAGTAGCAAACTCCTTGTTATACTGCTTGTTGAGGTCTTTTACGAACTCATTCTTTAATATCTTTAAGCACTTACGGTACTGCGCCGAACTGCGGAACTTGGCGATGTCAAAGCTCGGGGCGTGAGGCATGTGCACAATGAACGCGTTAGGCAGCACCACAAACTCGTAGTCTTCAGCCTCAAGCTGCATAATGTGCGACACCTTATTCCACCCAAAACCTACAAAGCGCGTGTCGTATTCTGGGATATCCTTGCGTACAACCACGTACGGCTCAAAGTCCGGCTCCCATTGGATCTACAAACATGACAATTAGATTAAAAATTCACTCCAATTATTGTAAAAAATTACCTTGTAAGGTGTGGTGGCGATCTTCCACTTGGCGTAGTTGGTTGGCTTGTGCCCTTTTGTCCAAACATGGTACCGGAAGGTAAACAGAGTGCCCATGTCCAGCATGCTCAGCAACTCGGCTTTACTTTTAGGAAAGTTGATCCGGTATCTTTGGGTTTCAAAGGCTGGCACAACAAGAGCCTATAGAATAAAGTCCAATATTATATAAAACAAATTTTCAATGAGAATCAAGCTTTTAAAAGCCAAGTATGCAAATTAAAATAAAATACCTTTTTATTTGAATCCAGGCTGAGCACCTGAATGGACTTCTTCAGGTATGTGTAAAGACCAAACATTGGCAAGAAATCGATGTCTGTTAGGAACACGTAGGGCGTATTTACTTGCTGCAGACCGACGTTGCGTAAAAAGTTCACAGGGTAGAAATTCTATTTTTATTTTTTTGATTAAATTATTCACATTTTTCACCAGACTTTCAAAATGTTACCCCTTCTTTATAGACGACATGATAGCCAATATTTTTGCGAGCGCTGAGTACTTCTGAACTAAGAGCGTAGCTTAGGAACTGTTGCGCTTCAGCATCAGACATATACAGAGTTAAGCTGATTGGTCCTGGAAAAAAATAGAATATGTATCTTTAGTTTTCTAAACAGCAAACAGAATAATATTATGTCCTTATGTCCTATGTTTTGTAAATTTTATTTTAAAATGTATATTTTATTTACCTTCCCATTGCTTGCTAAGGGCTTCCACCATCTGCAAACGGTCCATAGAGAGCTGAGCAACGAGGGTGACATCGAAGCCATCAACTGAAGGTTCATATTCAAAGTCCAAAAAGTATAGGTGAGTGCGGTAGCTTGTGATCCTTGCTCGCCGAAACTCGTAACAAGGATCCTCTTCGTTTAACTACAAAATTATAACATAACATGAAAATATAATATTGTCAATAATTTAATTGAAAAATAAAATAAATGCCATTGGGAAAAAGCGAAGAACAATATTTTTATGGATATTTATATACAGCTGTCTCAAAAATCTTAATTAAAGTTGCAAACAAAATACCTCGCTAAGCTCCTTTTCCTTGAGGGTGGTCTTGGTGTTGTTGCATCCAAACAACTCCCTGCGCAGCAAGTTCCCGTCATACTCCAGAAAAGTTAAGTACAGGTTCCTAAAGAACTCGACGTGCTTGTTCTTGACTTTGAGCTTCTTGGGTGAGTTGAAGTGGATCACCTTGAGGTCAGTGACTTCGGTGTAGCAAAGTTCAGAACGTGTATTGTCACTGAGCTGCACGTTCCACTGGCAAGGCAGCGTGTAGACCAAATACGGGTGCTGCTTGATGATGGCGTTGAAGATGTCCTGGTCAGCCAGGCTTGTGGATAATAGGGTCATCAGGTCACGCTCGGCAATCAGCCGCCATAAATGGCCCCAGCCGATTTGTCGTAGCTTGGCAAGGTGGAGCAAAATGACACCGGTGTTGAAGCCACGACCAAGTGCTGGCCATGGACGATGCTTTTTCCACAGCTTGCCGAGGTACCAGTCACTTTGATTTTCAACCAGACCAATGGCCTGAAATTTATTTTTAATTTAAATAAAATTAAATAAATCAGAAAAAAATTTAAATCACAAAAGATTTTATTATTGCACTTGTGTTCTATTTTTTGTTTTTAATTTATTAAATTTTCACCTGTTTAGGTCCGAGTTTCCGAAAAATCCTCCATAACTCAGCAATATCTGTGGCAAAGGTGACGTCCGTATCGAGAACAATTACCTTCTTTAGAGATTCGGGCAAGATCTTTGGCAGTGTAAGTTTCAAAAGACCATAAACACCGGAATAGTGCTTATTGGGAATCCAAGAGACATCTCCCACGACATTATCAGCCAAGTAAAAACTGACGTCCGCTGTGAAAATAAGATGGAAAATTGATAATTGTAGAAATTTTAACCCCCTTCTTATTAAAAAGTTACCTTGAGGAACGCTCCATGTGTTAAAGAGAGTCTGCAAGATGACCTGTGCAGTTGAGTCGGAAATGAGATGGAAATGCAGAGGGTTACGTCGATAGAATAAGATTGATTTAATAAGTGTTACAACGGAGCGACTTGAGTTATAGCCAGCGCACACAATAGCAACATGAATTACTTCACATTTAGGCACCTCAGGCTCCTAGAAATTTAAACGCAAATAATGATAGAGCTAGAATCAGTCAGTCTTGCTCGATCAATACCTTATTAGGACACTTCGGGTTTCTCTCTTCAGCATTACTTCCATATGAAGTGATGGTATTTTCTGCGACAGCAGCCGAGTCATTCCGTCTAGTCTCTGACATAGCATTGATCAACTGGCTTTGCGAGAAGCTCAATTGCCGTCGCAGGAGCTGATTCTGTTCTTCCATCTCGCGAACCCGCTCAGCAAGCCGCGCCTCACGATGGTTGAAACCCAGCAAGTTGTTGGGGTCGGCCTCTGATAGGGAAATTCAATTATTAATTTTTTTATTAATTGAATGCCGAATTCTGAGCATAATTGTTGGAGGTTAAATATTCCATGAAATGTGGGTTAGTACAGTCAGTGGCATACACTTCTGTTTTGTTCTGTGAAAGAAAATTCAAATTTTTAACTATAAAATAATACAAAATTGTACCATCACGGATGTAAAGGGTATAGTAGAGCAGGGCACACGACACAAGGACGGCCCCCACAAACAGACTCATCCGATGTCTAGCCATTCTGCAAAGAAAGCCATTCTGACTGCGCCTTCGGGCAATTATGGCTATCCTGGGTTTCAAAATTTGTCGATCACACGGTCATGTCTCATCCACACCAGATAGCACTCCACTGGAAAAGCATCAATTAATTTAATGAACGAAAGAAGTAATAAGAAAAAATAATAAAAGGCAATCGTGAATTATCTCAACTTAATAATGGCTTAATTTAATAACAAACAAAGAGATATTGGAATTATGAGGAAACTTTCAACTCACCCGGAGGATGTTTAGATGATAAAAAGCGGGGCGCTAGTCATTTTTATGCAGGCGTTGGTTTTCTTCAGAAATTTTAAATGAATATCTGGAATATCTAAAATAATCAGCGATTTGTGGAGATCTTCTGACGGCTGACCGAAAAATACAATCCACCCCTTTGTTTGTGAATCGAGTTCACGTAGGTGGCATTGCTGTCGCATCGCAGCCAAGCGCGCGTTGACCTCGATCTGCCTCGCCTGCAATACAAGCACAGAGAATTTAGCTCATAAAATGACAAAAAATATTGACCGCTTTAATTCTGATTTCTTTAAATAAAATTAACAACAAATTTAGGAAAAATTCTTTTTTAATTTTAAATTCAATATTCTTATTTCACTTGTCTTTGGCATAAAATAATCCTACTAAATTAAACCACTAACAGCTAGTATTAAAGTATCAAATATTAATAAAAATAATATTCACAAGAGATGTTGAAATTAACTTTTATATTTATTTATTTTATAGTATGATCTCTATTATCGCAAGAAACAATGCTCTAGCAACAATTGTTAACTTCTCATTAATGATCCTGGTGAAACAAATCTGAATGCCCGCCAAAAAACTCTCACAAAGCATCTGCAAAAAATATAATAATTCTTTCTAGAAACATTAGAAAAATCGTTTCGCAAGTTGCTTTTTTGCACCAGAATCTTAAAAGCAATTGTAAGAGAATCATTTCTTGTGTTATTGGGAATACCCTTTATTTAAAAAAATCAGCTTCCATAGCCATAGGTCTTGTTCCAATCCTCGTAACTCTTCAAATCCTTTCCAGACACACTTGGCCTAACTTGCTGCAAAGCCACCTTGAAATCTGCTAGTGTCACTGAACGAACCTTCAAAATCAGTAGTTTAATAATCTTGATACAAAATAATATTTATTTTTATTTCACCTGGCTAGCGTGGATGTGCTCCATTTGAGTCTCTGTGATGGATCTGATAGGCCCGTACGCAGCTTCTCGACAAAGGTCGCGCATGTCGGCACCAGAGAAACCCTCAGCCAGCTTCGCCACATGATGTACCTCATCCTCAGTAAGGCTGCAGCTCTGCTTAGCCATCAGGTTTGAAATAATTTGTCCACGAGCTTTAGCATCGGGAAGAGGAACATATAGGCGTTTAACTAAGCGCCGACGAGCAGCTTCGTCCAGTTCTTGGGGTCGGTTTGTTGCTCCCACAACAAGGATGCGCTCATCATCTGCAGTAGTGGCACCATCCTGATTTAGCAGAGCAAAAAATTTGTTCAAAAATTAATTAAAATGAAACTGTCACGATTATTAAAATTATTTTTAATAAATAAAACAGTAAAATAAAATTCCATACTAGCTGGACAAGGAACTCAGTTTTTATACGCCTCGAACTCTCATGCTCGGTCTCACTTCTTGAAGACAGAAGCGAGTCAATTTCATCTATGAAAATCACAGCTGGTTGATGGCACCTGAAATCCCATACAATTACTCACAAATGTTAATCTGGTATAATTATTATGTATTATATATTATGCAGAAAAAAAATAAAGTACCTTGCTACTGCAAACAGCGCTCTGACCATTTTCTCTCCCTCTCCAACCCACTTGGACGTTAGGGACGAGGCACTAATGCTGAAGAAAGTTGACTTTGACTGCGACGCAATGCATTTTCCAATCAGGGTTTTGCCTGTGCCTGGAGGCCCGAACAGAAGAATGCCTTTTGGTGGTCCCCTTAAGCCAGCAAAAATATCAGGCCGCAATAATGGCCAGACGACTATTTCCTGCAATTATCAAAATGACAAATTTGAGACGTTCTAGCCTAAATTTTCTTGATAAAGAAACCAACCTGAATGGTATTCTTTGCCGATTCAAGGCCAGCAATGTCATCCCATGTAACTGGCTTTCCTATGTCCATTATTTCATTCCGAATCATTTTTATCATTTCAGGAGCAATGTTCTTAAGCCTCTCGTCCATTTCGTCCTCCATTTCACCTTCAGATTTCCTTAAATATTATGGGAGAACCTAAAATAATTGCATAATAAATCTTAAAGTAACATACGATTCTTCTCCAAAAGCAGACTTGTGAGGCACAAACTTATTACTGCTGGAGGGAGGAGGGCCTCGTCTACCTCCCAAGCTTCGTTTCTTTGGTTGTGGATCTTCAAGAACTCCTCCAGAGTGGCCATACTTCTTGATATTCTGAGCGGCCTAAATATTTAAAAAAAAAAAAAAAAATGCATTTTATTTAAAAAATAAAAAACTCAATTTTGTAAAAAAAAAATATTATTGCTATAAAATTACCAGTTCTACTCTGGCTGTTTTAAAAGCTGCACTCTGAGGTGCTGAAGGTGCAATGAAGGTTCTCGCAGATACTTGGTTTTGGTTTGCACTAAAACGACTCAAGGGCTGTTGATCGCTGGTACTTGAGCTGGCAAAATTTGTGTTTTTGGTCCATTGAGGAGCTTCATCCTCAAGGGCTGCTGACTCGAAGCTTTTCTGCCTATTCCACTGGCTTGGTTTCGCAGGAGCTTTAAAAAAGGTGTCTATTTTCTGCTGCTCCACCTTTTGGATTCCAAACATTGGCTCTCGATGGACGAAATTTGAAGTCTTGCTTGACTTCGGTTCAAATGATGGTCTGGGCGGAAGAGCTGGAAACTCGGGTCCATCTTCCTGACTTGGACTGATCTTCCTCTTAGGTGCTCTAATAGAATCACAACCCAGGTTCATCTGCTGCACCCGTTTCATACTCTCAGTCACTTTTCTGTGCCATTCTTGTACCTCCTTTTCACTTGGCTTCTTTTCTTCAACCACAGAAACAGCTTTTAAATTAGATAATCCAGACTGCCAGGAAGATCTGTCCACTGCAAAGCAAAATAAAATAATACGTTAAATATATTTAAATTATTTATCAATTTTTAAACCTTTCATTTTCCCATCCACTTTCTTGACAGCATCTTTGACCACAGTCGAAATCAGACCAGTCGATTTGGCATCAACAGCTTCAAAATATTTTTTTAGTGTCGCGTCAAGCACTTCAGAGGACAAAATAGCATCATGTCTAGAATTTTTAAGGTTTAATTAATTACTTATCTTTGATAAAATTAGTGTAGAGAATACATAAAGAAATAATTACTGTTCAAGGGCTTTGTGGAAGTTTATTGCGCTCAGCGAACGTAGAGCACGGAAATGCTTTTGTTGCGATGCAATCGAGTTGTTTGGATCGTTGTCAAACAGGGTTTTTTGAACAAGGTGGCAAAACGGTGAATCTGAATCCGGCGAATACATTTTTAGTTGCTTAAATAATCGTAAATAATGCCCTTTCAGCGTTATCAGATTTAATGTTTTCTCCCTCTGGGCATTGGAGACGCGAACGACCAACGCCCCCTTTTTCGCCACAACACTTACACCAATCAGCGATGGCGTTAGTCATTTGTCTTGTCGTCGCTGATTGGTGTAAGTATTGTGCCGAAAAAGGGGGCGTTGGTCGTTCGCGTCTCCCATTTTTACTCTCTCTATAAAGACGCAAAAATCACCTGTTTCTTTCATAATCAAATGTGACCAACCTAAAAATGAACTGATTCTGTAAATAAGAGTTAAATAAAATCTTGGTTTTACCTAAAAATCACCTAATTTATTTAATTTGCAAGCATTATATGGTTTTTTTATATTATCATCCAGAATACGTTCGAAAAATATGAAAATTTCCCGAGTTTTCATGAGCTTATTATGTTGGTACATATATGTATTGGAATGTAATTTTGGCTCTTTTTTGCGCGAACCGCGAAGGAAGAAGCGCATGGGGCGCGGGCATAAAAAATTTTCACTTTATATAGTTTACGAGAATTGATCATGGAGATTCCATTGAATCGCATCGACTACTCTCTTGTGGGACCAACTTCACGACATACCATGAAAATTATTCCCAATCCCGAAGGAAAGGGTCAGCAAAAGGTGAAAATTTCGAATTTATAATTTAATAACAAATTTAAAATTTATAAAATTTAAAAATTAATGTGTGTAAATTTTTTATGATTAATTAAAGGATCAAAACTTACAAAATTTTATTTGAAATTATGCCTCAGATTGCACTAGGAAGTCATGATGGCGTTGTGCAAATTTTTAACATTAAGAAGGGGAATCTGGTGCATACCTTCAAATCTTTGCCTGGGAGAAAAATCAATGGACTTGAGCTAGGCGGAGTGAGAGGTAGGATTTTTAAATTATAATTTACGTTGTAATTAAATATTTTAAACTTCAAAATTAATTTTAATTCTAGATCAAATTCAAGACAAAATTTTTGTGGCTTCAAATAATGAGATTAAGGGTTACAACAAAAAAGGAAAACTTTTCCTCGCGTTTGAAACAACACTTACTGAACCTATACAGCACATGTAAAGCAAGTTTAAAATGAAAGAGAAAACACTAAAAATCATTCACAGGAGCATTTCAGGAAGCGATTTAATGGTTGCAACGTTCCACTCCTTTCAACACTACGCCGATTGTGCTGAAAAGCTGAACGCCACATTTGCGGACAAAATTACGGACATAATTAATTTGCCAGCACCGAATGTATGCTTTGATAACATTGAAATTAGTTAATACTCTCCTTTTAATCAGAACCAACCAGTAAGAACGGTAATAGCCTGTGAGGACCGGACACTGCGGATGGTGACAGACAAAAAGCAAACCGTGATTGCTGAAATCTCAGGACGGCCTTCAACCATGCAACTGGAAAACGGTGACGGTGGCTTAAATGGAATTGAAGTATTGTATGGCGCACAAGACGGCAGCATCGGACTTGTCTCTTTTGGATTGTAAAATAAATACAATATACAATAATGTCAATAATATGAAATAATTCAACTTAATTGTTAATTAATTTTTAGTCAACCATTAGTGCGTTGGGTGATGGAGAGCACCAACGGTGGCGTCAATTGCATGACACACTTTGATATGACTGGAGACGGACAGAAAGAGTTAATTGTTGGCCGAGACGATGGTCTCATCGAGGTATACGCATTTGACGAGATGCAGGAACTGCCCGTGAAGAGAGCCTCCTACGTACAATTATTCGACTCGTTAATGTTGGCAAAATTTTTAAAATTATTTTATCTTGCAGTCTTGTAGCGAGAGCATTGTGTCCATTCAAGCTGGATTTGTGAGTAGCGCCGAGTATCCTGAAATAATTGCAGTTACCTACACAGGTGTTTAAGCGCTTTTAAGACCCAACCTTAAATTTATTATTATTTGTTATATTATAAAGGCTGGTTTTTCGGTTTGACGACGGAAAGCAAAGAAAGCATTGATTTGCGGCAGGGTGACGGCCCAACAAATATGTCCGTGGAAATGCAAGAGCGCCTCCAGCAACTGCGGTAATATTGAAGAAAAATATTGATTAATTCATAAATTATAATTTGACTTTGTCAGAATGGAAATCGATGATATAGAGCAAAAAGTGATGCGAGAGCGAGAAAAGTATAAGCAGACAACGCAAAGCAAGCCAGACGCACTATCAATCGTGCCCAACATTGAAATCAACGACAAAGTGGAAAATTATGCAAATTTAAAATAGCGCAAATATAATCTTAGCTTAAATTTTTAGTTCACCCTCATTCAAAACGAGGCCGTTTACCTTTTGTCGATTGAGGTTCAGACACCAATCGATAACGTTCTCATCCAAAGCAACACGCCGCTGCTGATTTTGGACGTAGAGCGCAATTCTGCTGTTGTTAGCCACAGCGCGAGTGACCCAGAGGTAAAAATAAATAAAAATGGAAAATATGATTCAAAGGGGAAAATAATCAGAGCGGAAACCATCTGCTGGTCACCTATCGCTGCCAGGTTAACACGACCCGATTGGAGGTCAAAGTGCAAACAACCGAGGGCCGCGCTGGAGAACTGCGCGCCTACGTAACCGTGTCTATGCAACCCAAGTGCTGTAGACTAATCAAGTATCCCATCAAACCCCTGTCGCTGCATCAACGCAGTCATGACCTGGCTTTAGACAGGTTACAGTTTATGTTAAATAATAATAATTTATAAATAAGTTCAGGCCATATAATTCACTGCGGTTGACGGGCGAGTTCAGCTTGGCCGAGGTGCACTCGTGGATTGGATTGTGCGTCCCTGAGGTGCCAGAAAAAGTTCCACTGACCCCTGAGGGCGTCCTGTCTTATAAAAATGCTTCTCTTAACACTGTTCTTCACTGTGTCTATATGTAAGACTTTGAATGAATTCAATTTATCAATTCTTTGAAATAAAAAAACAGGAAAGGCAAGGCCGAGTTCAAAGCTGACAGCATGAGCACCATAGCCGTTCTTAAAGACATTTTAACAAAAGAAGCCACTGCGAAAAATATTGAACTAGACATTTCCTGTGGTAAAAAAAACGATTACGTCTGAAAATTAAATAATAAAAAAATCACTCATTTGTGAAAAATCTAGAAATCCACCCAGAAAGTACGGCACACATGCTAAGATTGTTACATCCATTGTTGGCAACACAACGTCAAATTGCAAATGACGCCGCTTTGCTGGTGCCGCTGCATGAACTAAAGCAACAAGGTGTAAATCTGCCTGAGCAGTATCAACTTATACTTGAACGCGAATTGCAACTCACGGAGAACATGAAACGACAGCCAGATCAGTTGCAACGACTTAAATGTAGGAAAATTTAAAATCAAAATCTGATAATAAAATCCACTATTTTCTAATTTGCAGCTATGATTTGTGATTTGTTCATGGATATTGGAAAGTTTCGAAGTGGAAATGCAAGAGCAAAGGTGCCGCAGTTATTGGAGCTGTTGGACAGCTACAAGGACATTCAGACACTGGAGGAATTTTTTGAGCAATAAAGGCATTTTATAATAAAAAAAGTCTCATGATTGATATTAAAACATATTACTTTATTATTAGAGCTAAGTTTGAGTTAATCACCTAGTAGCATTAATAATATAGTGTTATCTATTGATTACTTCATTATAGTTTCAACTGATTTTTGGTCGGTCATGCAGGGCTCAATTCGATTCGTTCGTGGCTGGCACAGTTCCAAATATGAAGAAACAGATCAAGAAGAGAGCTTATTTTACTTTGCAACAATCTCGTTAACTTTTGTGCAAACAACACAATTGACATTAAGCCCTGACATGCCAAACATTTCCAATTAAAAAATGATCAAGATTCGAGGTACTCGAGGTGATTTAAGTAGCAGCAGAAAAACTCGTTTTACCGATTCTACGTTGTCTACTCTTTTACTTGAATACAAAAAGAAAAAATTAATAAATCTCTTTAAATAAAATTACTGTCTTATCAGTTTATTAATTAGCTAATTAAGCTTGTAAGCAAAATGCAATTTCTTTACTAAAACATATTATTGTTAATATTCGTTTTAATCTGCGTTAATTGGAATCAAACAAATCAGTTCTTTTAAATGAGTAATACAGCAGCAACATTAACAAATTCAGGAGTGAACAGGTTGAACCAATACCGAGAGAGATTCGGGGACAACAAAGAATCTATGGTGTTCGTTGACTGGTAGAGAGACAGTAAAGGTATGGTTCATTTCTTACCAGCTGGCAGGGGTGAAGAGGGGTTGTGGACCAAAGGTACGTATTATAAGTATACAAGCGGCGCGCCTCTTTCCACTTACAAAACTTATCCATCTACCGCTTCAGCCTTTCTAGACGTTGTTTGATCAGCTCCAGACTAGCAGCATCTGTCTGCTTTGGAGGACTGCTCAAATTTGACTCGCCCAGTACACTACGAGGCAAATTGTCCAGCAACTAAAAGAAGGAAGTGTAAGCCAACTAATATTTTGTTGAGAAGAATTACATTTACCTCTTTTTGGGCATGGTTGCGGTTCATGTCATCAACCCTGTTGTCCATGGATTCCTCATTAGCGCCAAGGCCAGCCTTGTGCTGAAGTGCCTTTAGCTTCTCTTTGTAGTAATTAGCCTTGTCAGACGCTGGAATCATGTCGCCATCCTCACTATTTTGTTGCCTCAAATACAAGCCAAGCTCTACTCCACTTTCACTGGGTGTTTCTGTCATTTTAATTTACAGTAAATTTGAGTTGGCAGCACAAATTAAATTTGACTTACCTTGAGGTGAGGATATGGAACTGGCAGCTGTGCTGCCCTGGCGACTGCGATCAGTTTCAATGGTCTTGAGTCCTTTCTCAATATATTCTTGGAAGAACTGTGAGGCTTTTTCCAAAAAGGGCGCAATGTCAGCATCAGGGTTCATCTTCTGAAAGTCATACAACTGCTCTAACCCCTGAAAAAAATTGAATAATAGATTAACATATTAGCCAAGTTGATTTAAACAGCATTAAATTTATAATCTAATTACCTCTCTGGTTTGGTCTTTGGATCCAATTTTCTTAAAAATGGCAGACAACTGGTGGTGTGTCGTCTTGGAGAGTCTATGAGGAGAAGCTAGCTGCTGTTGTTCTCTAGGAGCAGCAGGCCTATCGCCTAGTTTCGGTGCACTCGTCTATTAAAAATTAATTTATTTTCTAGTCAAAATTTTAATTTATTAGAAAGACTTACGCTTATGTATTTGTTGACAATTTTACTAAGCTCGTTGCAAGTGTCTTCTTTGTTTAAATAAGTGAGAAGTGTGGCGCCCTTGAACTGTACCATTGTGTGCACAAGCGTTTTGATTGTTTTCAATGGGGTCAAATCTTTTCTGTCCCTCCAAGTGTGACTTGGGAAATCCTATTTCAAGCAATATCATTGTAAGTACTTATGATATATATATATATATATATAATGATCAACACTTACCACAAGAAAATGGTTAACCTCCCTAAGAACTGCAGCAAGGTCAAGCTGCTCCTGCCACTGCTCAATAACACGCATCACCTTCCACAAACTTTTCATAACCAGCTCAGTGAACTTTGGGTGAGTATTTGGATTGCTGATGCAGTCGTGAAGCATTCGAACTTGCGCGCTGCAAAATAAAATTTTAATATGCAAATATTCTAGATGCTCTGTAAATGTTGGTCTTACGTGACAAGTCTGGTGTGGTCTGCATTTTCAATGATGCGCACCACAAGCGAATTGGTGAGGCGCACAATTTGATCCTCGGTGTTAAATCGCTCGAGCTTTTGTTCGACCAGCATTAGCAGAAGTGAACTCATGACATCACGAATTACAGCTTGTGATGCACGAGTTGCCATCTGAGGACTTGAAAATATCTGAAATTTAATGAGTGCATGTTGTATGGTGTCAAAAATTTGTTTCAGATATTACAGATCGGAGTATGGCGATGAGTAGCGTGTAGTTTACACTCATGAGCTGAAGATCATGTGTCTCAGCGGTGGCCTTCTGTAGCACTTGCAGCTGGTTGGTGATTGCAACAAGAACCTGGTCAGTCATCGCCACTAGAGTCTTGCTGGATGCCTCTCGCCGCATCATCATTTCTACTTCCTTGCAGGCTTCGATGCTACGATCCAGGTTGTGGTTGCAGAGCCGACCAATGTGTAGTTCTACTGTCGCCGTTGCACCAGAACGGTTTGTCAACGGCGAGGTAATCATGTGCTTTGCGGGACTAAAAGTTGAATGAATATAAAGAGAAAATTAGTATTATTTTTTATTGCTTCTCTTGAGAAAAATATCTCAGTTGATAATATCCACGGATTGCAAGGATGGACAAAGATCTAAAAAGTGATCTGAGATTGTGTCAATCCTTAAATGTTTCGAAAAGCAAGAGACGAGTAAAATTATACAAGTAAACAGTAACTCTAGTGAACTTTTAATTGATTAACACTAGATAGAGCAAAAAAAAATTGAATTCAGAAGACTGACAAAATGACGTTTTCTGTTACTTACTCAAGCCTGGGCATACGGACGTCATTTCCAATGTCATCAAGATCCATTTTCAACAACTGTGGAGCCTTGACGGACGGCCCGTTCTCCAAATCTTCAAGCAAGTCATAATCAAGACGAAAGGCTGCAGAAATTGGACGTTGACGATGTGATGGATTAGCTCTGTGGGAGATAGGAATTGATTGCATGAGTAAAACATTCATTGACATTGCAAAAAAGTTACTGAAATCAAAACACAGCACACACCAATATCAAGGTCAATATCTTATACCATCAACGCAGTAAAATTTCGTTAATGAAAACCAACCAAAAATTTAATTGTTAAGGTCCTTCTTCCATACCAACAACTAACATTAAAACCATGCCCTGTGAGGAAAATCTTTTCTCAAAACCAAGTTAGTTTTCCAACCACTCGCTCTGACTGACTTGCTGGAAACAGGAGAGTCCCCAAGACGATTCATACGAAGGTCAAGTAGAAGCAAATTTCTCTTGATTGAATCCAACGAGTTGGAACCTCTTGGATTGAGAACCTCGAGACTGCTGCCACTCGATAGGATGATTTCTTCAACACTGCCTGTTCTGCTACTGAGGGCACTGCTACCCGCCTCAGTCAAATCTTCGTAACTGGGGGCAATATTTTCCTCAGGAATTTGCCGCAAACTTTCAACTGGCTCATTTTGATCAAGCGTGCTTATTTGCGCGGCAGGACTATTTACTTGTAAGGTCCTGGCGCGCTTAGGGCTTGAGGATGCTATTGGACTGAGGAGCAGGCGTTTGTTGTGAATAACTGGTAATGTGTACGTGCTGTTGGGATTGGTGATCATGGTCACATCACCCTCGTTGGCAAAATTAGTCAACAAACTGCTGTCAGCTGGGTGTGTCTCGTTGGCAACGTTACTGATATAATGGGGTTAAATTCCATTAGTGGAACATGCAATTATTTATCAAAAAAAGCATAGGACATTTAAAATGAGTAAATTTTGAATTAGAAGTAATCTTATAACTCATCTTGATAACGTGCATATTTTTTAACAAAAGAATATAAACTTTGTTGTAATACAATCAAAAATACAATTTTCATTAATTGAGAAGTTGCACAATTTCTACGCTAGCAAGATGAGCTAAAAAAAATAAGATAGTTTAGATTTAGATTTTACAGTTGTTATCAAATTTGTTAATCTCATAATTTAAGTGTAGAGCGTAACATTTATTAATAATGCAGAAACAAGTGTAGCTAAAGAAAGTTTTAAATACAATTATTCATGGTGTTTAGAGAGTAGAGGAAACATCTACATGCAAATTTTTAAGTGTACCTATAAGTGGGTTCGACAACTTCCTCTGGCTCCGAGTACCGTTCAGCGACCTCCTGTGCAACAGCATTTGGCCTGACAGCCTTTGTTGGCCTGCTTGCAGCTACCTCCACAGCCGTCTTAATCACAGGTCGCGTTTTTCCAGCACGCTTGATACGTTCTTGCAGTAGAGACAATTCTTTGTCAGAGATCTAAGGAAAAAATGTGATTTAGCTTGTGAAATGTCACATAATATAAATTTTATATGTATGTACCTGTCCGATCATCTTGTAGATTTTTTCACCCTCTTGGTGCCAAGCTTGCACCACACAGTTGAGAGCAGCAGTTCGTACAGAATTGTCCCTATCTGAAATTTGTCTGGCAATTTCTTTGAGAGCAGCTGCAGGTGTTGGCTGACTGACACTGATGCCGTAGTTATCAATCAGCAGACCTAATTCCTCCAAGCACTCTGCGGGATGGTTTGTCAATAATAAAAATAACTTATTCCCATTTCACTTCTATTACCTGTTCTCTGCCTCGAGTTCTTTGATTTGAGACCCTCCATCACATATGCAAAGAGCCTACTGCAGGGGTAAATCAAAGTGATTTGGTGCATGATGTTCTTGACACCGTTACGAACTGTGTCTTTGGGGTCGCCGGACTGTTTTAGCACTACATTAGAGTTAATACTTAAAAAAAATACTAAACTGACCTTTAAAATTAGGTAAGGGATGAAAGAGGAGGCTTCCATTTCAGGCATATTGTAACCATCCTCTGCCAGCATTGCAAAAACTGTGAGCAGGTACTCCAGGCCCCTCAGAAGAACGGAGGGGTTGGTGTCAAAGAATCTAAGTGTTAACCACTTCAGAATCAGGTCCAAGTTGCTCACAGTGGCTTGAGGATTCACATTGAGGAACTAAGAGACAAAACTTAAGTATAAAATTGGGCAACAGATTATTTAATTTACCTCATTCAAAGCGTCAATAGCTTTGAGGTGAAACTTAAAGTCATTATGGAACATTTTATCCATGAGAGATTTGTTCACAGCTGCGGTTGTCATTTGATCTTTCAAAAGGTCAACAAACTCATCCCGCGGAGTTGTGAAATTCCATTTTAAGACCTGGTAAGTGTCAATTTGCTATAAATAATAATTATAAGCAAATAGTACTGACCCTTAATTTTTGTTCATCAGCCATCCTCTGAGTTTTGAGATTGTTCACTTGTAAGAGTGGTGACAGATCTTGATCATCTTCCTTTTTATTGCGGCTGGTTGCTGATGGCTTTGCAATGGTTGGCTATTTAATATTAAATCTGGTTATAGAATATGATTGCATCAAAAATTTTTAATTTTACCTTGGACTTTGTAATTGTATTTGTGTTGATTTTGGCAGGAGCTGCTGCTGGAGGAGCAAGCTTGCCTTTAGCTGGAGCGCCCTTTGCAGCAGCTTTGGGAGGAGCTGCTGGCTTAGCAGGCAAACTAGCTCGGGCTTTTTCCAACATGGTTGTAACAGCTGTTCTGCTGGCAGCCTGTTTTTTTTTTTTTTAATATTTTTTTCATAAATAGAGCTTAAATATATCAGTCACTCACAGATAGCTTTTGACTCTGTCGAGCCATTGGTTCGAAGCCAACGTGAATCATTATGGGAAGAACAGCGTCCTGCGCATTTTTCCTCACATCAGCATTCCTGTCCTCCACTGCAGCCATCAAGTGAGGGAGGGTGGCAATAAGATCTTCTTTTGAAATTTTCTTTGCTGTTTATAAATCTAGTGATTATTTTGCTGCTCAAAGTTTATTATAATAAACTACCATTAGTTAGACTCTCCGCCATCCACTGGAAAAGCTCCGCTTTTAAGAATGGATTGCCAGTCTTGAGTGCATCAGCAATCATTTCGCCTTCATAAATCTCCTTCAGTCCACTTTGTTCAGCCCATACTTTAATGCAATCCATTGCTAGTGATCTAACCTGACTCTGATTAAAGGAAGATAATGTTTGTTTTTCATTCATATTGATGTTTTTATTTATTTAACATACCTTGCTGTCACTTAAGCCTTGCAGCATTGATGGCATGAGAGTCCTTATGTGCTGCTTGCATTGAGCTCCGAGTTTTTCTCCGAGTTGCCGGCAAATGGTAAATGTGGACTGACAAATTATTTTATTGCTGTCAGTTAGTCGCTTTGCTAAGGCAGCTGGTAGCTCGCCAAGGTTGGCCGTAACATAAGCATTGGCATTCACAATAGTGGAAACCTTCTGTAGTGCCTCATCTCGCATTTTCCAGTTTGTATCTGATAGCTGAGAGATGATGGCATCTGTGAACTGGCCACTGATGTCTACACGAGGCAAGAGTTCTTGTAAGTTGTCTGGATCGGGATTCTGGTCATCCTCTACACTCTCAGAATTATCCTCTCCCGTGGAAACAGTCATGCCTTTAATTGGAGTTGGCGGACGTTGGCCTTCAAGCTGCAAATAAAAAGTACGAATTAGCCACTCAATGTAACTTTCATGTAATTAGTGGTACACGGAACACAAGAGTTTATATCACCAACTGTACCTTATCAAACTCAGCATTGATCTGCTGCACTATGGCAGGCTTTTCAGACTCCATGATCCTTCTCAAAGTATCTCCCATGTAGAGATAGAGAGTACACAAAAGAGAAATAGCCGATGTTCGAACAGCCACATTAGTTGACGCCAAAGCTTTTCTAATGTTTTCCAAAACTGGTTTAGGTTGAATACTGCAAATTAAATCCAAGTGTAAGGAATTTCAACTAAATTAAGGTTAAAAATAACTTACACAAAGCCATATTCTTTAATGGCATTTGAGAGCCAGGCCATTGATTCTTGCTGAATCTTTGGACTTTTTTGGCTAAGTCCAAATGAGAGAACCTCAGTAGCTACAAAGTCAAGCTTCAAGTTATCTGCTATGGTTGTAAGGACTTCAGCTGCAGCAACGCCAGTTTTCGCATCTCCAAGTTTTTCAGCCACATCTTGCAAGCAAAGGTTTGCAGATGTTCGTGTAAATTTTGGGCTCTCTGCAATTGCTTTGACCACGTCCAACTTTGCTTTCATAACTTGGAAGTTGTTGTCTTTGAGGCCAGGCTTACGGCTCAGCGTCTTAACTAGCGCTTGTGCCTGCATATCGCTCTTGTCCATATTGCTCACCAACTGCAATAACTGTTCTGCTCCAGCTAAACGGGTCTTCCAGTTAGCATCTACAAGGTCATTCAATAGCTGTGGTGGAAGAAGTTCAGAAACAATCGCCTCCACTTCTTCATCAGCCATCTCCCTCTCAAAGTTACTAACAGTAGAGGCTGCAGCTTGCTTTTTTGCCGCAGGTTTTGCTGCCTTTGCACCGCCAGAGAGAACTTTCTTGGGACCAGTCGGTTTTTTTGGTGGAGGGGCTGAAGCTGGTTTGGCCACCACTTTAGCAGGCGCAGTTGCAGGACGAGCCGACTTAGGAATTTTTACGGTCATAACTGCCTTTTCGCAGCACTCCTTTATCTTTTGCATCTTGATATTGTCCAAATCTCCAATGAAAGGCATGATCGATTTTTCAGTAACTGCCTTCATTGCAGTGCCCAAAGCTTCGGCTGCACTGTCTCGCACTGTTGCATCTAAATGAAGTATAAAACAAGTTAATCAATTTAGATTTTCAAAAATAAATAAATGCATACCAGGGTCATTTAATGCTTTCAGCAGAAGTGGTACATAAGCTTTTAGCATTTTCTTGTCCAGCATCTGAGGGGTGCACCTGGAGAAGTAGCGAGTAAGGAATGAAGAAGTTTCAGATTTGACAGCGGGATTTTTATTTTTCTCAATTGCTTCAGTAATATCTTCTAGCATTGTTTCCAAAGTCAGCTGCAACAAAATTTGCAATTAAAATTTTTTCTTTTACTGTTAACCTCATATTCTAGTAAAATTAATGGCATAAAAAATTGTTAAATGTAATAAATTCATACATTTTGTGTGACAGCGTCAATGGCTTCACGCATCGCAGTTACAACGTTCTGCTTTTTCTCCTTGAATTTCTCCAAAATGCATGATACACATGCTGATGCATATGGCTGGAATTTCTTCTTCAATCCATTTGCAAGTCCGGCCACGCACTTGCCAGCCAGAGCAACAATCATCACATTTGAGTCTTTCTGAATAATCTGCAATTTTGAAATGTTAAGATTTTCTCAATTAATTTGTCTCTTGTTTATGATATACCTTCTTTAGTGCCCTAACGAGCTCTCCATAGTCACCACCTTCTAGCTTTGGGTTCTGGACTAGTTTCTCGAGCTCATCCATAGCCTCTTTCCTCTCCTGCCACTTCTTGGCCTCAAGTTTCTCGTAGAAATCCTTGGGCAATTTAGACAGGATGTCGACTGGATCTATTAGTTCTAACGGATCTATAGCTGGAGCAGCTGCTTCGTCTTCTTCTTCAGCGTCAACCTCGTCACCCTCTCCCTCTTCTACTGCAGCTACCTGCTGCTTCTGCTGCTGAGACCGCAAGTAGCGAGTCGGCACAACTTTCTCTCCAGCCACTTTTTCAAACTCAGCCTCCAGTTCAGTCAACTATTTAATTCACAATTCACATTAAATCTTACTAAAAATCAGGAAATATTTACACCAGTTGTTTACCTGAACTGGCTTGAGGTTGCTTAGTTGAGGCTTGACGGCTACTCCCACCCAGCGGTAAATTTCAACTATCAAGGCTTTTCCTTCGTCTCGGACAATTTTGTCTCGGTGGTCCAACAATTTTGGTACCTCTTTTACTAGTGGTTTGACGTTGATCACTTTCATACCAAACTCGCTGCAGAACAATATTTTTTTATAAATCAGATACAACCATAAAAGTCGTACAACTTACTTAAGAGCCATAGTCGCTGTGTTGATGCAAGCAGCCACAACTTTTGGATTCTTCTGATCGAACCCTTTGATCAGCTCTTCCATTACGGCTTCATGTTTTTCAATCTCTACATACATCAATGTAACTTGCTGAGAAAGTTCTTTGGTTTTGGTTCTTGGTGCGCTTAAGCATTTTGTTACAATGTTCGACATAACTTCACCAACCGTCCTAAATTTTTAATAATTGGGTTGAAATTACATTAGATTTATTTTAAATTATCAATTGAACAAAACTTACTTTCCAGCTGGTCCTGCATTCTCGATGTATGCCAAGATAGCTTCAAGGCCCTTCTCCTGAGCAGCTGCATTGCTGTCTGCCGCGAATTTTTTGACGATTCCCAAATATTTGTTCCACTCCGGAGCTTTTTCATCTGGGATTTGTCTGAAAAGCTTGGCCGCCTCCTCGTAACCATGAACTCTGGCCTTCCACAACTGCAATGCGCACCATGAAATACAAATAGCTAAAAATAAAGGTTAAATTTTACAGACCTTGTGTACGCATCGCTCTTCCAAAGGAAGCTTTGTGAATTCAGTGTCCTCCTCCATTTCAACTTAAACCTGTCAATCAAAAAGATTCAACTACAAAACTTATAAGATAAGTACTTATTAAATTTCAATTGATAAGATTTTAATTTGGACCATCTAAAAATTATACGGTGAATCAGCGATAAAGTACATAGGAGATTACAAGGAAAGAACTCGAGGAACTCAAAGCAAAACGAGAAATCTCACGGCAGACTGAATTCCCGGCGTGACTTTGACTGTGAGGTATTGCTGCAGAAAGATCAGGTTTAGAAATAACATGCGGGACAAGTTTTCTCTTGTGTAACTCGCCCACTCGCGACTCCCGAGGTTCGCGCACATGAATCTTAACCGACGAAAAATTGATGAAAACCGCAAATGATCATGGCTATAAAGCCGAATTTTCGAGTCCATCACACGCGAATCGGTGAAATGCGTCGATTAATTGCGTGATTCATGCCCGTGGGAAAAATCGTTACATGAAGAACGGCCTAGGGCAGTCAGGCCTTGATCCATTTGCATTGGGCGAGGGTGGAGGCGGCTGAATTTTTTTCCACTCTCGGACAGATTTAGATCTTGAATCGAGCGCTTACCTGTGCTACGGGTGCATTCGGCGTGCAGAGGTGCGGAAAAGCGACTTTGCGACTTCGGAAATGTCCGTTTCCTTTTATTTGCAGTCAGACCCTGAATATTTTTGTTCTCCACTGCGCTGCTCGTCGTTGCGGATTGCCCGCGAACGACCACTAACGATCTCGCATCTCGCTATTCAAATTGAATTAATCTAAATGCATTGCATTGCATTAAAAACAAGCAATTTGTGTCTGAATGATATTTTAAAAATTTTTAAATAAAAAATAATGATAAATTTTTACTACATTTTTACTTGGAACACCTTAAAAATAATTGAAAATAAAGAAAACTCGGAACTTTTGACAGATGGTTAGTTCGTTATAAAATTTTAGATGGCACTGCCAGAACCTCTTTTGGCGGTGAGAGATAATAATGATGGCGCCCGCCAAAGTTGAATTTGTTTTGAAAGTCGGCCAGCTGGTGTTTGATCTTGAGGACTTGTCCTTTTTGACCCGATTATTCCTCGAGTGGACATCGTAGTGGAAGAACTTCTATCGCAAAGCCTTCAGTAATGCGTCTTGTAAACAAGAAAGGCAAATTATCGTGATTTATCGTCCCGGCCATGCGGTTATTCACAAGAAACTTCCGCCCGTTGACCCGTCGAGTATTTGGGGTGATAGGTGTCATCATCAAGTACGGTTGCATCGCGCACTGCACATTTGAATATGTTGCCGACATTGTGGTCGTGAGTATAATTATTCTTTTTTGAAGCTGTGCTTTTACATTTTAATTGTAACTAATTTTAACCTGCAACTTTCAGTGCTCCGGCTCGTCAATGGAACCAACCTTGTTCACAAATAATGTTTTACTGACTGAACACATAAGTCCTCGACTCCAGAAAATCAAAAGAGGAGACATCATCGTTGCCAAATCACCCACAGATCCAAGACAATTTGTATGCAAGAGAGTCACAGGCATTGCCGGAGATAGAGTGAAGAATGGATTTTATTCAGAAATTGTGGGTTTCTTCACATGTCCTTAAATGGCAAAAATTAAATCTTTTTCATTACAGCAGATTCCTCCTGGTCATGTCTGGCTTGAAGGTGACAACAGAGGAAACTCGACAGACTCCAGAAGTTATGGTCCTGTGCCAGCTGGTCTAATTCGCAGCAGGGCTATTTTGAGAGTTTGGCCCCCTCAGGATGCATGTTTGCTCACAAAGCCAGAAGAAGAGTAGTTGTACAAAAGCAGCAGAGAGGATGAAATAAATCATAATTCTATTTTAATTATAAGTTGATACACATTGATTTATGATAATTATATGTAAGATCCAATTGTGAGCTAGTTCAAGCTAATCAAACGCAAGTGCTCATAATAATTTTGATTTACAAGAGCTTCTTGTTTCTATTATCATATTTTTCAATATGCATCTTAATTCAGTGAAATCTTGAATGTGATTAAAAAAATCACTCTAATACTTTTATTACTTAAAAGTAAAATTTAGTAAAAAAAATCAAAAAAATTAGGGGAAGTAAACTGAATTATTCCATTAAATTAGTACTGCGACTAATGGCCTTGACGTGGAAAAAAATCTAAGAAAAAAACAAGAACTATTAGAAAGCACCAGCACCACATCTATTTTCTAAATAGATTGAAAAAGATTGTTTATTTTTAATTAATTTAAAAATATTTATTTTATTGGTGCCAATAAATTCAATCAGGCAGTATGAGCTGTAATAAATTTAATTATAATATAATGTATAATACCATGAGACTACCTTGCTATGTTCACACGTGTTGGGTTGGGTTTTCAACTCTACAGTGTAGGGAAATAATAAATCTAAATTTTTAAATATATAATTATGAAACATGACAGCAGAGCACCATGTGCACAAAACATAATTTTATCTCATTAACTAATTTTACTAAAGCAAAGGACTGCAATTTTTAATTCTAATCACGCAACGACAAACAAATGAGGTGTAATTAAAAATGCACACCGACGCTCAGATCCACAGCGGATTACAATGTACAAAATCGCGTAATCTCTCTACAGTAGTTGTTATATAACATGCAAATAAGCCGTGCAGGTTGCAGAAAATACAGGGACTCCGCTGTGCACACTTCGCGGATTTGTCGAGTGATGGCATCGTGGACGGCGCATGCGCACCACCGGCGCCGCACTCACGCGCTTGGTGCTTGGTGTGTCTGTTCGATTTGAGAGAAGTGTCCGCCTTTGTCTTTCCGAGGCCGCTCGCTAAATACGAGCTACGCGCGAGTGTCCGGCCGGTCGGACAGTTGAACAGACTCCTCGTTGGTCATGTGGCTCGTGCTCTTGTGAGAACCGTGGCGTGTGTTAGTTTGATCGTACGCAAGTGTGTGTGAATGGAACTGTTTTAAAAACGAAGAGGAACCCGGAAAATCAATCGCCGAGCCAAAGTGAGTTTCCACCGCAGGTTGGGCCTCCCAGGGGTGCCCTTTGCTCACTGTATGACATGAAGTTTGATCTCAGGAAGCCGGTTTCGGATCGGGGGCTCTTGGCGCAGGCGAAAGAGTCAAACTGGGCCGGTTTTGGGCCGTTCCGTAACCGGCTTCGTGGGGGCCACTCCCTCTCTTTTGTGTCACGCTAGCCCGCCCGCGCGCCAGCTCCGGGCCTCGTCACGGGACACGGGAATATTTTTTTCCTCCCTTTATTTACATTTTTTTTACTTCTTATGCCAAAAATTCGTAATTCAAAGCAATAAATAATATTAAATTTTATCCAACTTGTAGAAATTTGGTAAATTTATTACAAATTCTGCGGTTTTCCTCATTTATATATCTCACAATTGCATACAGTCATACCCGTTTTCATTTCCTTGTTTGTTAAAATTTTTGGTTCCGTGGCACCGACGAGTGCTTTCCCCATGAGATCACCGTCCGTTTGTTTCGTCGCTGTCATGTCCAAGCGATCTAATAATATTAACGAACTCGGCGTGTGGTTTCAGATGTTGAGCAGCCGGACCAAGCACACCCTGCACTGCTGCCTCTTCTTCTCGCTGATCACCGCCTTCGAGGTCTTCACCGGCGGTGCCCGCATCGGTGACTTCGCCGACCCATCGGCGGGCATCGACCCCTGGCAGCAGTATGGCGTCCTCTGGACCATCGTCCTCTACGGACTTCGTCTGCTCGCCCTTCTCTCTCTACCGCAGGTGCGTTTTTGATATTTCACCGCCTTGGAATGCAGACTGCATTGTCTATGGGCGCCACCGATAACAGTTTATTTTTGCCGCAGTGCCATTTTTCAACATTTTCTTATCAATATGAGACTAAACAATCCGAGAAAGTCTATTTTGCAATTTATTTATGAATTGTGTTTGTTTTGACGTGTTTTTGTCAGCAAACAGTGTCGGTGAAGCATCTAAAGTCGTTAAACTACTTAATCCTAGAGTAGTGCAAGCTTTTGACATTTTAGTGAAAGTAAATCGATACGGTAAAAATGTACAGAACATGCCAGAATAATTAAAAATTTAAAATACAATTTTGATCAATATATGTTTCAATGGAATTTTTTTAATTGGAAATTTTTGTTTTCTCAGGTGCTGTTTAACTTCTTTGGCCTGACACTGTACAACGCCTTCCCTGATGGCGTGCAGCTTAAAGGTTCGCCACTTCTGGCGCCGTTCATCTGCGTGCGTGTGGTGACGCGTGGCGACTTCCCGCAGCTCGTGCGGCGCAACGTGCAACGCAACCTGAAGCGCTGCACCGCCGCAGGCCTCGAGAACTTTATGATTGAGGTGGTGTCGGACAAGCCGGTCGGTCTCGCGCCAGACCGCCGCGTGCGCGAGGTGGTCGTTCCGTCGACCTACCGCACCAAGACGGGCGCCCTCTTCAAGTCACGAGCCCTCCAGTACTGCCTCGAGGACGACGTCAACATGCTCGGTGACAACGACTGGGTGGTTCACCTGGACGAAGAGACCCTGTTGACGGACAATGCCGTGCGCGGCATCCTCAACTTTGTGCTTGACGGAAAACACCCATTTGGACAGGGTCTCATCACCTACGCCAACGAGGACGTCGTCAACTGGGTCACCACCCTGGCCGACAGCTTCCGGGTTGCTGATGACATGGGCAAACTCCGCCTCCAGTTCTCCATGTTCCACCGGCCGTTGTTCAGCTGGAAGGGGTCCTACGTCGTCACGCAGGTAAACATTTTGAAGAAAAAAATTCACTATTTTGTAGTTCGGTGAATTTTTCTAGAAAAAAATATAACTAAAATGCCATCAGCACTTAAATAATTTTAATAAATGTGCTGGATTTATCGGCTAACAATTTTTAGATTTTATCTAGTTTTTACTATTAAAATTTAAGTTTTCTTTTTTATGACGTTACATTAAAACAGCAGAACAATCACGCCTCTTATTAAACTCTAAATTCATGTCGCGTTGCCCTCAGCAGATGAAATTCATCATCGATATTATTGAATGTTGAGAACCTTCTTTCATCTTCTCACGCGCTCATGTGACTCACCCAGTCATCCTTTCAGCCGCGATAGCTGATAACCTACGCGGCATTTTTGTCACGGCGCTGTCGCGCTTTTCATATCTCTCCAGCTTTAAATGTTGGCTGGTCGGACTTTGCCATGGGCCGTCTAAGACGACGGGCAAATCTGATCGCTGTGATTGTGGCCGTAATCAAGTGAATGATAAGAGGCAAGAACACGTGAATTCTGTTTTGCCACGCCAATATCTGGAGAAAACATATGAATGGCCAGAGACATTTTAAACACTTGGCGAAAAATTAAGTAAATCGCAGCCTCATGCGTGTGGCCCATTTGTTGTCTGAATGAATGTCTCGCGCTTGACGCTCTGTGTGCTGAAATTACCGCCTGCTGGCGAAGCAAAAGCTCGTAATTCAAAGTGCCACCAGCTGAAACGAACCAAACGGCACACAAATCTACTTTTGCAAGCACAGTTGTCAAGAAAATGCTGATGAATTTAATTTTAATACTGCTCTCGTAAATAATTTTCATTCCCCATTTTATTTAACTCTGTTGATCATTTTGCGTGTTCCTATTTTAATAATATTTGTGTCAAAAGAATTTGCCTTAAAAAAAAAAAATAAAAAAATAAAAATAATACAAAGTTTGAAGATTAGACATAAATTTAAGAGTCTACTCTGAAGATAGCGTTCATCGTTCGAGCAAATCTTTCTCTTCGTCCATATTCGGCACTCTATACGAATGTTCTCGCACCGTGAAGTGTAACCAAGTGCGTGCGTGTAAGCGCCTTTAATTTTTTTCTTCCTATGCTGCTATAGCTAATTTTGACGGTAACAACAGCTGACCTTGAAATTAATTTTTTCTGTAATTATATAAAAAAAAATTCGAGACGGGCTACTCGGGCGAGAGCCAGGAAAGAGCAAAGCAAAGCAGAAGGTCGCGGGTAAATTCTCGCGCTTTCCTACGGAACTAGAGAGGGTGTCGCTTCTCGCACGCTCGTTAGCGCACAGATTTCTGAAATGCGGCCTGCTTTTTATCCAGTGCTCCAATCTGCAGCCTAATTAGCACCCTTTCTTGACTTGGCTCCAACGGTCTCGCTGCCAGCAGAGTTCAAGCCGGGTAGAGAAAGAAATCGCGTTGGAGAGAAATTATTCGAGCTTTCTCAATATTAGATGAAAATAGCTTACCATTGCATTCAATATTTTAATTCTGTCTTCTTTAAGATAAATTTTATTGCTTTTAAACAAAATTGATAATAGAAGCTTCTGGCATAAAAATTTAATACAATTGCAAAATTTTTTTACTATGGAAGTTTCATAGCCCTGCGATGAATCATGGAATTGTTGAAACTTTTCCTCTTCCATTCATTATTTTTAATATTTTTTGTCCGTCCATTGTATCATGTTATCAGCCTGATGAGTTCCCCCCGACAAAAACACTGCACAGCTCCCACAGCTCTTTCACGTGTCCAGCTGCGGAATTTGGCGAATCACGCCTCGCGCCTGACGATGAGCTATGCATGAGTCATTATACGCGAACTTCCTGCCGCCCCGGAAACTAGCAGCCCAGTCTGGCTACGTATTTTTCGTATTTTTTTTTATCACTTGCACGGTCTCTCCCTTGTGTATAGCTGGCTTTTCACGCCGTCGTGTGTTTGTTTGTCCGTTGCCATCACAGCGATGACCGTCGCTGACAACGCAGGTCGATGCAGACTCGAAAATCGCGTTAATTTCCGCGTCCCTAAAGTGTGGCGCCTTTTCCTGCCGCAGTGTAATTTATTCAGACGAAAATTGGAGAAGCAGCAGGCTGATTTATCTGTCGCCGTTTATTTTTCGCGAGAGAGGAAAGCAAGCGATTTGTCACTTTTGCTGTCGGAAGAGGAGACGGGACAAAAAGGGCATGAATTTGTCTTTGTGAGAAATGGGACGTTTTTGTTCAGGATAGGAAATGGTTTAGAACGCGTGCGGCTCTTGAAAGGCAGCTCTGGAGCTGGAGATGAAAGAGCACTTTGAAAGAATGGGTCGGTCCTTTTTCAAAGAAACAGAGTCCTTAAGAAATACATCTGCAGCTAACGTGCTACATTTCTTGAATTTTTTTTTAAGAACGACTTCTTTACAAATAAATAACATAAAACTCTTTACTTTATTATTATTGTTGTTTATTCCTGTCCGACAAATATTACATACATGTTATATGCACAGATCACAAAGAAAAATTGAGATAACAATTTTTGGGAGGGAAATGTTTTTGGACAAGAAAAGGCGCCGCCTCTAGCAAACATTTTGCATAAACATTTTACTTATCAATTTGCTAACCCAAATGCAAAATATTGTATTTTTTTTTATCTAATTAAAATAAAAACAGGACCTAAATAAAATTGCCAGAAAAGTTTTGAAAAATATTATTAATTTTGAGGTATATAAATTTTTATAATCAAAGTATTCTCCTCTTTTATTTTATAAGTAAGGCAATTTTCAGCCTTAGCCTCTTTTCACCAGTCGATCAATATAGAAAATTGTTTGTTTATTGAGTGCGTGTAAGTGGGAAAGGACAGGAGTGCACACGTAGCAAATTCAAAACGTACACACAACATACACACAGGGCAATACAAGCAAGGTTGTCGAACCGCTTGATTATTTATTCATGACGAGTCGATTAGCGTGCATGCAATTAGAATTCTAAATCACCAGCGAATGCTTGGAATAGCAAGACCTTAATTCTGCGACAAATAAAGCAGCTATTTATGAAAATATTTTATCAAAGTTATTAATAACAAGCCATTAATAATTCTTGTGAACCGGTTCAAGATCAAAGTCCATATCAGTCTGTATCCTTTAGCACTTGGCAACGATATTTCTGATGTTTTTTTTTTTTATTTCTTTTCTTTTCACATGTTAAACATTTCAAAACTCCTCTACTCTGATTGAATTCGAGTAGCGAGCGCAAGACGAGACCAATCAATTGATTACAAGATAGGAATTAATAAATTTCTCCGTCTTGCCCCTGCAGTCTCAATTTGCTGCTCGGACTCTTGAACAATAGGAGACGATCAATCAAGTTGATTGGTCAAACGGTTTCTCCTCGTCTGAGAAAATCGGCAAAATTTCGAGGAATTCTGCCAAATCTGAGCCAAGCTATTTTCTCAAATTTAGTGGAGCAAAACGCCTGCACGCTGTGTGTGTGCGAAAAGAAGTTTCTTTTTGAATCAACGTGCTTTCTTCGTCGATCGAAAGAGTTGTATGTGTTTATTTGCTTAACGAGAGAAGAAAAGAGGCCCCGGCGTTTGCTCTATTTGAAGTCACTGCCAGCGCTCTCTTTTCTTTTCACTCCATGTCCATTCAAAGAAGAGTGCACGCGCGCCGCGTAATCAAAAAGCGCATGCACATACTCTCTTTTCATTGCGAGCAATCACACCAGAATCTCAAGATGAAAGGCCTAACGCAAATTACGCCCATTTTTATAGGGGGTTTGCAGTAAATTGGCCCGTGCAGGGGTACTTGGCTCTCGTCGGCGCCGAAACGATCATTTAATTTGTCAGCGGCCGGGTCGTAAAATTAATATTGTCCGGCGTTTGCTAATAGGGCTGGGGCCGCTGGCGGATTGTTCAAATTCACGCCGGCGACGCGGATTTCATTGATCACGTGTTCGCCGAGTGCCGAAGGCTCTTCTTCTCAAGGACGTCGCTACTCGACGCTCGTCTCCCCGGTGACTCGTTAATTTCCATAATTGCCTTAATTAAGGAGGAAAATTTCGTTCCAAGAATAGATTTCTGGAGTTGGTTAAACCAGAATAAAAAATATAAATACTTTTCAAATGAAGTTGATTTGTGTGCCACGGGGCATTATCTGCCCATTTTGAGAAACACCATAAAAAAATTGTAAGCAAAACTACAAAACGTGAAAAGAGAATAAAAACATACATATTTCTGAAAGATTTTGGGGGGGGACAAGAAATTTAAATTTACTTAGCTATTTAAATTGAATTTTAATTAATTTTGAGAAACAAGATTAAATTGTTCTAAAACTATTCTAACTGCCAATTGAATTAATTGCAATTATATGATAATATTCACATTTTTATACAAAAAATTCTAATATTATTTGATAAGTTAAACAGACTGTAATTTATTTCTACCATGGAAATTCTCAGACACCCAAATCAATAAATTCGAGGAATGGTTTAAATAGAGCGCCATAGTTTATTTCTAATTTATGTACCGTTCTCTGGTACTCGGCATTGCTTCAAACAGTTTGCAATGGCCACGGGCGGTTCAGCAAGCAACTTTTGACGCTTTGAAATTCTCTCAGCTCTTCGTCCGTCTTTCATAACCACGCAAACAAACCAAGGAGCGAGTTTCCATGTTTGTCTCTCGGTTCGCATCCCGGCCGGGCTGCATTTCAATCGTACCTGCCGCAATACATAATCTGAGGCGGCCGCGCACCGAGTCGGTTCGATAACCCGCGCGTCGCGTCGCCTCTCCGAGTCATTGACGTCGAGGAAACTTTTGCTGCGCTCCGCACATTCTGCTCGGCATTATGATAACAAACGCGACAATAACGGGTGTTTGCATTTTTATCGCGAATTGGAAAATAGCAAGTACTGGAGAAAATCGGGCAAATGCGAGACGGCGAGGTAAAAATAAACCAAGAGGTGATAATCAGGCCGCGCCGCTGAGAGCTAAAATCAGACCTCTTGCATGCCTTTTGTGATGCCGCGCGCGAGCTCGGCGAAGAAATCAAAAGTGAGTGACGTCGGCCGTTGTTTGCAGCCCGAGAAATTTACACTCTTTTGTCTCCTCACACGAACAATGCAGGTTTACAATAAAAGTTCACTCTTTTACAACTGTACTTTTGCGTAAAAATATGTGGAATGAAAACGCGTTGTGATTTCTTGATATGTTTTTGCATGACTTTCAATATTCAAAGTATTTTATCTGACATTGTGTCACCAACAAACTATAAATCTCTTTTATTGCCTTAATAACTTCACCATAAAAACAAAGAATAAAAATTAGGGCAATTAAATCGAGGCATATAATGGAGATTAAAATTGATTTTAATTTCTAGTAGTGATTTCATTATCAATTTGTCTGGGCTTCAAAGGCCTCTGCGCCTATTTTTGTCTGAGAGCAAAGTGCCGCTTAATTTTGGCGTCTCACTTTGCCGCTGGATGTCACAGGCGAGGAGCGTGTTTTACAGCGGTGTCGTAAAAAGTGTTATCGCCGGGTGCAAACACCGTAGACGTTTGGTGAATCAGTCAAGTTTCTGCGTGCAAGATGGGTACATATTTTGTGTTCGTTTCTTGGAACTGGGTCACGTTATTTTCCTTTATCTAGTACTCCAATTAAACCTGAAAAAATAATGTTCCACAATGGTCTAAAAAAAAAGGTGAACTTGTTATTTAAATAACGTTAGTGATCCTGGCAAAGCATTCTTATTTATTTTCATTTAAAAAATCTTATGGAAAATTTTTTGATAGAAATTGTTGCTGGAGCATTAAAAATTTATAATTTTTTAATCTTTCTGTTGGTCATATTGGAATTGGCTGCCGCTCGAGAAACTTTGGAAATTCATTAATTTACAAATCGCTAGAAATTTAATTTCAATTAAAATTTATTATTTTCTACGCAAAAAAACTTATCAGAAAAGTCCATCAGAATCTCAAATTTAATTTTATTTTGGTTGTCATACCGTTTAGGCAAAAATAAGGCGGAAATATGATGAAACTTCAATTAAAAAAATGGTCAAAATTGCTCAAAAAATGTTATTTTGCAACTTGCGTCTAATTGTAGTGGTGAGTAATTAATGGCTATTTTTTGTAATTAACTGATTGTGAGACTTTATTGGGGGTAATTATGTGCTATCTCGGAGCTTACAAAGAGGAAAAATGTGATGCTCTTCAGCCTACGCATGTGTGTCAACGCGATAGAAGTTTATATTATTTATTTCCATTTATCTAATACTTTGCTTGTATATTACGCTTGCCTTGGACTCCTTGCACTCGCCTTGACAGCTTCAAAAGGCACTGCTTTGTTCGCCTGGGAAAAAGACCGACTGATGCACTCGCGATTCCCCGGGGAACTTCTGTCTCAAGATTACAAGGTGCTCAAAATAATTGCGCTTTCCTGGAACACAGTCGATTTTAAGTAAAAAAAATGCATGGTTTCAAAAAGGGTCTGTTATGGAGCCGCTGCTGTGACGATGTGGCGCGGCGCGAATCGATTGAAGAGAGATCCCTTGGCGGATGGTGTGTTGCTGCAGTTTGGGCTGCGGCGGCGACGGTGAAACTGGGCCGAATCGATATTTTCCGAACTTCGCGGAAATCGCGTGTAGATTCATTCCACACGTCGGGGCGAGTCGCATAAGTTTGAACACGACTGCGGCACGCCAATTACCGATTATTATATACACCAACCCATGTCATGCGCCTACACAGGATCATTAGTTTTATTTGTTTTTAATGGGAAACGAAATCTGTTGAAGGTCTATGCAGATTTGGTATTGACCATTACCAAAATAGCCTACAAACGCCAAGCAAGTGCAAAATATTTAATATGGTACAAAATTTGGCAACATTATTATATTTTAGTGCTTCTCGCTATTTGTTTATGAAAACCTAAGCATTTTGGCAAGTATTTTGCGTAATAATCTGCTGTTGAAGCCGCAAAACTGAGCCTGCCAATATTTGGAAGGTCGCAGAAGCCATGAGCTTGAATCGTTACAATCTAGTTAGAATCGGTTACCGCGGCAAGGGTTACGCGCGTGCCACTGCATTACCATTACGCGTGTGACGTCACAGGGTGCCACGACATTTCCGTAGGGAGACTTGCTTGCTCGCTGACGTGCCCTCAGTTGGACTCGGAAAGGGTGTGGCGCCAGAAACACTAGGGAGTTTGGGACAATATTATTTTTCCCACCAAGGTAAAAATAGGAGAGAGCGAAAGGAAAACAATTCCCTCTGCGGTTGCGAGAGACACGGTGACAAAATACACGTGTCGCAACACAAAGGGGGCTGCGTTTTCAACACAATCCCTGCGGGGTTATCTTCTTGACCAACGAGACTCTTGACATTGAATAAATAAGCTAACACAGGAGGAAATCGAATAAAGAAAGATTTGCCTTTTTAAAGGTTCATTAAATTGACCAAAATCTTAAAAACCAATGTAATAATTAAAATTTAAACAGATTTTTCAGATTTTTTAAATAAATGAAAATATTATTTAATTTAATCAGTGCCATATTATTTTACAAAAATAATAAATTGATAAAAAAAAGACCAATGAACAATCAAATTAATATTTTATTTTATATAAATTATTGATGGATTCATAATAATGAATATTGGTTGTTTATTTAATCTCTAATTTTTATCTTGAAGCAAAGTCAGTAAATATTTATTGAGCTTTGGTGTCGTTGGCTTCAACTGCGGTTTTGCGAGAGCGTCTTGCGCGGCGATTTATGCGTGTGCTTGAAATTCCCACCACCTCTACGTACCTGCAAGACAGGTGCGGGCGACCTTGGAGGCAGCGATGACGCTGGCAAGAAGCCTCCCGAAGACAAAGAGTATCAGCAGCGAGTCGCGTTTTTTTATTATTCTTTCTTCTCGCATCACGTGATAGTCGAGTGCGGACTGCGGCGGACCAACCGATATTCTCCGCGTGCAGTTCATGATTCGAAAGGGTCAGAGCGTGCCAAAAATTTCAAATAGAACACTCGCGTTCTGATTAACAACAAATTTTTAATTCTCTGAACACAACGAGGAAAATGGAGAGATGAATTTCAAATTTAATGTTCAGTCTTGGTTGCTAAAATTTGATATATTTAGAAAAAAAAGTTTCACGTGATTTTTTTTTAAATTCCGCTTTGGAGTTTGAAATAAAAATATAAAAATCATATATTTTTATACTCTGCATGTGAACCCTCTTGTTTCTGGATCTCTTTTAATGCGGGCAAAAGTTTTGCAAAACAAGGCCAGAACACGCAGTGCATTAATCTACCTGGATTAGAAGTTTTGCCCCAGTGGAGCAGTTGAGCGACCAAACTAATTACATATTCATAAATTGTTTGTTTGCATTAGCCAGGCAAAGCGTCCCTGGAGCCGAATTGCGTCTGCCAGTGGCACACGAGGGAAATAACGCAGAGACGAAAACCAGAATAAAACGCCCTTCTGGATAACTTTTATTTTTTCATAAACCACGCATAGATTAAAAGACAGACTCGCTTTTAAAATCTACGGAGAATTTATTTCTGCGTGGGAGCTTTTGAGAAAAGCCGTGACGGCCGGAGCATTTCAAATTCAAAAACAAACGCCCCGGGACGTCTGCTTTGGATCAGCGGCGCGGAATTATATTTACGCCCTTTCGCCTCGCTCCACTCGAGGGCCCGAAATAGGCCCTTATCATGTACGAATGCGGCACAATACAAAAATGCCGGCGCTCGTGCACTTGACACGGAGCCAAGCAACTCGTTTCCCTCTCGCCTGCGCGACACAATTCGCAAATGAATGAGGGTGTCGGGCAGGCGGACGGACGGCAGCAGGCAGGTGAAAAGCGAAAGAAAGGAGACGAGCGCTGATTGATCTCTGCTGTTCGCTCGGATGCTGGAAAATAGGCCGGCAAGGACTGAAATAGAGGTCGTTTTCTGCTTGAATTTTACTATATATACCAATGGCGCTCCAAAGCGGAAATGTTGAAGTTCACACAACGAGGGGGAGACTTATTAAAAATAGAAGGTGCAATGTTCATTCAATTCTGTGCTGATTTTTTCATGCATTATATTTTTTATATTTGGTTGGTGGAAGAAATTGATTTGATTTAGTTTTATATATACATTCCAAAAGCATTGATAATTCTACTAAGAAAAAAAACCTTCAAGAAATAAAATTTGACATTTGAAGCAGTTATATTTATTAAACACAAGGCGCATGTTTGATATAAACAGTATATGTAAAAGTTTTAAAAGGAAGTACTAATTTTTCCTTTTGTTTGTTCACAGATGTCGTGGGAGCGAAAGGTTTCGTTTGACAATGGGCCGGACGGCTCGGTGGCCGAGGACTGCTTCTTTGCGATGCGCGCCTTCAAAGAGGGCCTCTCGTTCAACTTCATCGAGGGCGAGATGTGGGAGAAGTCGCCATTCACCCTGTGGGACTTCCTGCAGCAGCGCAAGCGTTGGATGCAGGGCATTCTGCTGGTTGTCCACTCGAAGGTCATCCCGATCCGGCACAAGCTGCTGCTGGCCGTGTCCTGCTACTCGTGGGTCACCATGCCGCTGAGCACGTCCAACGTGATCCTGGCCGCGCTCTTCCCCATCCCGTGTCCACCCTTCATGGACTTTGTGTGCGTCTTCATTGGCGCCGTCAACATCTACATGTACGTGTTTGGCGTGATGAAGTCGTTCTCGCTCTACCGCTTCGGCGCCCTCCGCTTTGTGCTCTGCATCCTGGGCGCCCTCTGCACCATCCCCTTCAACGTTTTCATCGAGAACGTGGCCGTCATCTGGGGCCTCTTCAGCCACAAGTACCGCTTCTACGTCGTTTCCAAGGAGCTGCCCGCCACAGTGACCGTCTGAACGAGATCCTCTTTCCGAGGGCGGCAAAGTGTGGACGTTCACAAGTCGCCAACTTTCTGCCAGTTTCTGTTGACCTCCCTCTTGTTAACTAAACGTTATATTCCCGTGTGGACCGGTTGAAATTTGTAAGGTCGATTCAATCAAGGACGCTTTTCCGCATCCGAATTTCAAAGTTTGTAAAAATTATCAATTAAATTTTAATTTGGCAAGAAAAGCGTCGCACTTGCTTCAAAATACTCTTTCACCTTTCGGCATTGTTGAATCCCACTGTGTCTTATACTTACTGGCAAAGTTAAAGTTGCAGTATTACTGTAGACTTAATTAATTTACAACTGCGTTAATTTGATGTAGCAGTGTATATATTTTTTTACTTTTTTCTCGGTAATTCGCGATCGTTTTTTTTTTTTTTCAAATTATCCGCTTTCGCGTGCAGCGTTATTGAAGAAGTTGAATGAGTGCACGGCTCGGTTTAGGCGAGGTCGTGTGCGATCCCGGTGCCTCATATTGGGGCATTTGCCGACGGTCACCCCGCTTCCTGCGATAGACTTTAAAAGTCGCTCCCATTCTTTTTTGCAAACCGCCATTCCATCGCCCAGCAGCCGCTTGACCAATAAAGACGCCAAGCAATAAACAAATTCGAGCAAAAGCCCCGCTCGATTCTTGCAAAGAATTTGCGGGGCTCCACTTTCTTCGTAGCAGAAAATTCCTCATACACAAACACCTTCTACTACATTTTCTGACTGAATTGTGTGTTGTATACATTTGAGAAAAAGAATATAGAAGCAAAATTTTCCTCTTTGTCCGTGTGTTTGTCGATTGTATTTGTTTGTGTAAATAGAATGTTGTTGTCCAATCGCAGCTTCGCTTTCGCGGCGGAGCGTTTTAACGAGAGAACCAACTGTAAATTATTATAATTATAATTCCGCGTATAAACGGTGTAAATTAAAGAAATTCTTATTGAAATTGTACGTTACAAGCGGCAAGTGCGGACGGCGAAAGTCCGGAATGCGCCTCTGACTGACGAGCTGCAAAAAGTGAGCCAAAAATTGGCCAGTCGTGTCTTGGAATAATGTTAAGGAAATTCAAAAGCGGCAGCTTTTTGCACGAAATTTGTACATATAAAAAGAAGAAGAATTGGATGCACTTTTTCAAGATGATTCGATGAGCCGTTGCGAAGTAGATATTTTTAAAAGAAGGAATCTAACTGTGTAAAAAAGAGAGCCGCTGACACTTTTGATACGGACCAACTGATTGGAGAAACCTCTAACATTTCATTCATTCGTCACGAGAGAATGAAGTTTTGAGCACAAAAACATGATACTGTTGTAAATTCAAGCGCACAATGCAGACCCTTAATTCAGGATTTTGCACATATATATTTGGTTAATTAAATAATCAATAAAATTAAAAATAAATTTATTTATTTTCACTAAGCATTTCCAGAATTTTGGGTCTTCTCATTTGAGCAAGGTTTGTAATTGTCCCCTTAATTATTTTTCTTTGGGAAATTCACATTGTCCTCCCATTTCCGCCGCTCTCCTGTATGAAATTATGTAAAAGTAGTGCCGAGTGCGTAGTCGATGCAGCGAGTGCCATCATTTTTGTCCGCGGACGTGAGTGCAGTTTTCGTCGACGTTTTAGAGCTCGCGGTCACACTCGTTCGTCCCAATACTCTCCACTTAATTATGGATTTTGTGAATACACACGGTTATATGGATGCGTAAGAGTTGATGAAAGAGAAACGAACACTCGCATAACACGCCGAGATTCGCTTGTGAGGTTTAGAAAAGAAACGCGTTTCTGCTGATGTAAAAAATAATATTCGCCATGATTGAATAAATGAATTATGCACGCATTACAAGTGATTCGAAACATGTGTTTTTCATTTGGACATTATAATCTTCCAACCCTATAATGTTGTTCTGTATTGCACAGTAAGTAGGAGTGAAGCCGTTCAAATATCCAAGCGTAAACTTCCTTTGTTAATCCTTTGCATTTCACTTTTCCTGTCACTAGAGACGCATTTATAAGGTTTGCCCAATTACTTTTATTTTCAATTTCTCTATTTAACATAATCAAATGAGCAAAAATGAAAACTCTGGATCAGGCAGATTATAATATTTTTTTTGTTTACTGGCCACTTGATTGTGAATTAGATTGATTATATCGCAGTTGAGCGCCAACCTGATAACTTTGGTTGTCAGGTGCATTAGCCAAACTGCTTTAGAGCCAAGTGCTGATTATGATTAGTAAAAAGTGCCGGGCAGGAGGTCGATTATTATCTTTCATATATGGTATAGCATCCTCCAGTAACAAACGTGTATAATTTACATGAGGAGAACAAGCGTTGCATCAAAGTAAGGCGCTGCATGTTTTCAAAGTATCATTATTGAACGCCTTTTTATCTATACAATACCAAACAACACCTCAAAAAAACAAACACAAGAAAGTTATGAATCTGATTCGGCGTTTTGCCAAAATACCAGTCTCACTATTGATTTCTGATCTGATCAAATTTCACGTCGGCTCCCAAATCAATTTGGTCGACTGCGCCCGAAAATTGGCGAGTTAGGCAGCCCGCTCGACGAATCTGCTGGACCGGCTGCAGAAATGAAACTTTTTTGCTGCGTTATTTCATTATTGACGGAAAATTAATTGGCTCGTTAGGTAGCAGCTCTAATGAAGCAGGAGGCCGGGAAAGCGAAGCATTCAATCAGCCTGGTTATCAGCAGAAATGAAAAAAAGTCTCCGCCGGAAAATATGCTGGTGACGTGCGAAAAGCCAGACGAGAGATAACTTGATTTGCGCCGTTCCAATTTTGGAACTTGCTCCTTAATAGAAAAAGTTTCTGTCTCAATCTTCAGCGCAAAAGCAATTTGTCCGCAACAAGCGCAAATCAAACGCCCCCGACCGGCTTCGCTCATCTTAATTTGCTCTTAGTTCTTTTCTCCCAACGGGCATGGAGGCAGACGTGGAAGGCACATTAAATTCAACCCAACTATGGGGCCGTCGTCTGACGCTGGGAATTAAATTTTCAGAGCTCTGCCGCAAAAAAAAGGGTGGCGCTGCTGGGAAAGGGCGCTATTTGCTTTTATCGCAGAGGCGTCTGCCGCTGCGAATAATTCATTTTATTCCAGCAAGATAAAATTTTACAGCCACCCGAAACACATGTAACGGCGCAATTTTATCGACCTTTTTCCCAGAGCCACAAAATTTTACGAGAATGCTGCACTACAACGTGAATAACTGTGAAAATATTTTTCTATTTCTTTAAATAATTTTCTAATTCAGTTTTATCGATGATAGTGTAATATTATTAATAGATTAAGTAGATTGTAAGCATTGAATAACTGAGGAAAGATATTAAAAACGTGACATCCTCAGCACAATCATTTGAAGTAGCAAGTTATTGTACGCTGTCCAATCACATTGAAATAGCCTGACAGTCGTCTATATTGACGCAAACACTCACGTTGGCGATTATATTGATATTAATTTATAAGCAATGGAGGCGCAGAGATAAATAGAGGAACATCGCGGCCTCGCGATGACTAATACATAATCGAAGACACGCAAACAATCAGAATCAAGAAAGGACTCTCGTGTACATTTCCCACTTATCACTCAATACCACGTGGTCAAAATAGTTTTCCTATCTTGGCTCGGCAAACAGGCACTTGCCACCGTTTTATAATCATTATGCGAAAAGTTTTAAGCCATTTCAATTATTATGTATTTGAAACAGCAAACTAATCTACAAGGAAAACAATCCTAGAAATAAAAATAATGTGTAATTTTGCTGTGTTTTTTGTTTTCAAATTAATTCATAGACTTCAAATTTAACATGTTATGTCTTATAAAAATATAATCAATATTGATTCATTTAATCACCCACAACATATTCACAACGTTTGATTGTCTGTAATAAATATTCACGTAAAAATGAAATAATTAGACAAAATTAATGTTTTTCCAGAAAATCAGAAGTTTTAAGTAAAGATAAAAATGGAGGATAATAAAAAGACACCTTATACTTGTCACTATAACTCTAAAAGATATCACGTTTTTACAAAATTAAATGACAGCAAAAAGAGAAAAGAAAATGATGATTACTCGTCTCCGTTTGCGTGCGTTATAATTGACAAAAGGAGATTAAAAAAATAAAAAAAGTGTGTTTGCACAGCAACACGAGTTATGAATCAGCTCAGAGACACAGTGATAAGATTGGGCAATTTGAAAATAAAGGTACTAAACAATCTTCTTACTCATTGATCGGAACTTTCTGAGTGCTTTTGAGGTCGTTTTTTGAGCATACTTTTATCAGACAATAGACTGTAAGCGTCATAGCTTTAGTGTCATAACTGACAGTGCAGAAAACAGCTCCTTCGTCAACTACAGTGCAGCAGCACTGAAATCTGAAAACGACATATTCATCCAAAACACTTAGATATGGCTGAAATATATCTTTTCTATAATTATTAGAACTCTGCCAGATATTTAATTACTTTGTTCATGTTGATGCAAGTGATATCAAATTTAAAATAAAAAATTGAGAGAAAATTAAAAACAGAATCCTTGTCAAAAGTCAGAATTATATTTTTTTCCCCCAAAAGAGTCAAATTAACAAAAGATTTGAAATTTAATTTTACTTGTTAACATTTTTTATTTTAATATATTTTAGAGTGAGTTCTAAGAATTTGAATTTGTCGGATTTGTAAAATCTTCACTTCAACATGCACATTAGACCCACAGCTGAAAATGGCAAGGATTTACCCCTCATAATCAGACTCACGGCACTAGCTTGAAGTGGGAAAGGAGATTTTCACCATCCCTGCAGCACAAACCGTTCCATTTTATAACGTGCGATTCGGAATTACGACTGGCCTGCCGAGAGCATTACACGGAAAATGCATCTCCGTGCGCCGGTAAAAAGGCGGTCCAACACGATCCAGACACGGGAGCAATGAAAGCTGCTGGTTGGAAAATGCTATTTTTGCTTGCCATGATCTCGTTTTCTCTCGTCTGCTATTCGCGAGCATGAACGTATATGTTTGGGCAAACAAACAAATAGATGGAAAACAAACCGGAGCGGTCGCGCGCGTGATCAATATTTAATTTCCGCAGTCACCAGTCGTTGAGCAAAAAATTGCGAATAAAAAAAAGATCGACGAGACATTTCACATTAACTAACTGGAAACTGTGACACCCATTCATATCTAATCTCACGACCAATTTATTAATGACAGTTGCCACGTTTTTTAAATAATATGAAACAAGGTATGCCATTTGTATAAATAATTGACGTTCTAGCTATAGGTAATAAAAATTTATCCTAATTCACTAGATTTTGAGGGGCAAATCCAAAACTGCCAGCCGGTAATTAATTGAGAATATCAGTAATATCAAGTTCAGA